GTGTAATGAATGTAGTGTGTGTGTTAATGCAGTGAATGCAGAGTGTGTGTAAATTTGTAGTAAATGCAGAGTGTGTGTTAGTGTAGTGAATGCAGAGTGTGTTAATGTGTAGTGAATGCAGAGAGTGTGTTAGTGTGTAGTGGATGCAGAGTGTGTGTTAGTGTAGTGAATGCAGAGAGTGTGTTAATGTGTAGTGAATGCAGAGAGTGTGTTAGTGTGTAGCGGATGCAGAGTGTGTGTTAGTGTAGTGAATGCAGAGTGTGTTAATGTGTAGTGAATGCTGAGAGTGGGTTAGTGTGTAGCGGATGCAGAGTGTGTGTTAGTGTAGTGAATGCAGAGTGTGTGTTAGTGTGTAGCGGATGCAGAGTGTGTGTTAGTGTGTAGCGGATGCAGAGTGTGTGTTAGTGTAGTGAATGCAGAGTGTGTTAATGTGTAGCGAATGTAGAGTGTGTGTCAGTATAGTGGATGCAGAGTGTGTGTTAGTGTGTAGCGGATGCAGAGTGTGTTAATGTGTAGTGAATGCAGTGTGTGTGTTGTGTTAGTGGATGCAGCGTGTGTGTGTGTGTGTGTTGTGTTAGTGTATGCAGTGTGTGTTGGTTGTGTTAGTGTATGTATTGTGTGTGTTGTGTTAGTGTATGCAATGTGTGTGTATGTGTGTTGTGTTAGTGTATGCAGTGTGTGTGTATGTGTGTTGTGTTAGTGTATGCAGTGTGTGTTGTGTTAGTGTATGTAGTGTGTGTGTTGTTTTAGTGTATGCAGTGTGTGTTGTGTTAGTGTATGCAGTGTGTGTGTTGTGTTAGTGTATGCAGTGTGTGTTGTGTTAGTGTATGCAGTGTGTGTGTTGTGTTAGTGTATGTAGTGTGTGTGTTGTGTTAGTGCATGCAGTGTGTGTGTTGTGTTAGTGTATGTAGTGTGTGTGTTGTGTTAGTGTATGCAGTGTGTGTGTTGTGTTAGTGTATGCAGTGTGTGTGTTGTGTTAGTGAATGCAGTGTGTGTGTTGTGTTAGTGTATGCAGTGTGTGTGTTGTGTTAGTGTATGCTGTGTGTGTGTTGTTTTAGTGTATGCAGTGTGTGTGTGTGTGTTGTGTTAGTGTATGCAGTGTGTGTGTTGTGTTAGTGTATGCTGTGTGTGTTGTGTTAGTGTATGCAGTGTGTGTGTTGTTTTAGTGTATGCAGTGTGTGTGTGTGTGTTGTGTTAGTGTATGCAGTGTGTGTGTTGTGTTAGTGTATGCTGTGTGTGTTGTGTTAGTGTATGCAGTGTGTGTGTAAATGTGTGATCTGGGGGGGGAGGGGGAGGAAGGGGCATTTTAACATTAATTTTTAATTAATTTAATTAAATGTTTCTCCCCCCTCCCTGCTTACCTGTGTCCATGGAGGGGGGAGATTCCATCTGTGGTGGTCCGGTGGGGGCCCCCACGCTCCCTGTTACCGTCCGCAGAGGTGGCCCAGGCAGCACACAGCTTCTCCTCTTCTAATAACTCTCGCGAGACCCGCGGAGCGTTGCTATGGTAACCGGATCTCGCGAGAGTTATTAGAAGAAAGAAGAGAGGAGGAGAAGCAGTGTGCTGCCTGGGCCCCCTCTGCGGTAACAGGGAGCCAGTGGCCCGCGGCTGCACACATAGATAGCGATATTCGCTATCTATGTGTGCAGAGAAACAAAGTGGGGCCCAGGACTGCCAGAGCAGTCCGGGCCCCCCAGGGCCGCCGGGCCTGTGACAACAGTCACGGTTGTCACCCCCTGATGGCGGCCCTGCACTGAAATGTCAGTGAAATTGCCTGTGTCTGCATGTGCGTATGCTTACTGTATAATTAAACGTTTTACCCTGAAAGGACCAATATTTTATATTAGAAAAAGCATATATATATATATATATATATATATATTACTCAATCATCTGTCCTGGCAAGACATAGCCTTACATATTACACGCGACAATATATGGCGCAGTGACTTATGGGGCTGGCACAAATTTTTTTTCCAGGGCTGCTTTGTATCCCCAGTCCGGCCCTGCCGGTGGGCCTGAGTCAGCAGGGGCCCGGCCGGGCGCTGTGGCGCTTTAACAGCGCGACCGGGCCCTTGCTTTTCGGCAGCGCTTGGAGGAAGTGACAGCCGTGCGTCACTTCCTCCCACAGAAACAGGAGCCGCGCGGGAGGAAGGCGGACCAGCTGTTCCGGAGGGGGCCAGGCCGGGAGCTTAACCCCTAGCCACCCCAGCCAGCCCACTGGACCCCAGGGAAGCCACCCTCCAGGAAAAGGTAAGAAACTGGAGGGTGGTTATCAAAGTCTGTTAGTGTATCTGTATGTCTGTGTGTGTGAGAGTCTGTCAGTGTCTGTGTGGTTCAGTATGTCTGTATGTGTGTATGTCTGTCAGTGTGTCAGTATGTCTGTGTGTGAGTCTGTCAATGTCTGTGGTTCAGTGTGTATGTGTGTTTCAGTATGGCTGTCTGTGTATGTCAAAATGTCTGGATGTGTGTCTGTCTGTCAGTGTCTGTGTGTATGTGTGTTTCAGCATGTCTGTCTGTCTGTCTGTGTGCCAGAATGTCTGTCTGTGTGCCAGTATGTCTGTCAGTGTGTCAGTATGCCTGTGTCTGTGAGTCTCAGTGTCTGTGTGTTTCAGTATGGCTGTCTGTGAGTTTCAGAATGTCTGTATGTGTGTATATCTGTCAGTGTCTGTGTCTGTGTGTTTCAGTCTGTCTGTGTGTGTGTGCCAGAATGTGTGTATGTCTGTCAATATGTCTATGTGTGAGTCTGTCAGTGTGGTTCTGTATGTCTGTGTTTGTCAATATGTCTGTCAATGTCTGTGTGTATGTGTGTTTCAGTATGTCCGTCTGTCTGTGTGTATATGTGCCAGTATGTCTGTCAGTGTATCTGTATGTCTGTGTGTGTGAGAGTCCATCAATGTCTGTGTGATTCAGTATGTCTTTGTGTATGTGTGTTTCAGTATGGTTTTCTGTGTGTGAGTCTGTGTCAGTACGTCTGTCAGAATGTGTCTCTGTATCTGTATGTTGTCCATTTGTATTTGTGTGTGTATCTGTATGTGTCAGTGTTTGTATCTGTATATCTGCATGCGTGTCAGGTTGTGTATCTATAAGTAGTCAGTGTGTGTACCTTTGTATCTGCATGTATGTCAGTGTTTGTATCTGTGTGTGTGTCTATGTGTGTGTCAGTGTATCTATATGTAGTCTGTGTGTATCTGTATGTTCTTGTGTGTATATATATGTGGTCAGTGTGTATCTGCATGTGTGTCAGGTAGTGTATTTGTGTGTATCTAGACGTAGTCAGGGGGCCCAAGTAAATGCTCGCCCAGGGTCCAATCTAAATTAAAGACGGCCCTGAAAACAATGTGCCCTATGTATGACCTAGACACTATTTTGTGAAGTTACAGTGCTGTAAAAGAGACGTGAAAAGTTCAGGTTTTTAAGTGTGAATTTTCATGGAGGGTTTTGATGTGTCCGTGTCCCACTTTGGAACACTTGAGCAGGCTACATGTTCCAGCTACACCATAAAGCATACAATTTCTTAAAGAAGACATCCCAGGGTATTTAAAAAGGCATATTTTCATTCAGTTTTTTTATAACTTTGAAGGTTTACGCTGTGTCCATGTTTCATTTCAGAGTAGTTTAGCTGGTTGGCTTTTCAAACTTCCCCACAAACACATAAAAAATAATAATCAGATCACAGTATAATACTGTATATCACTGTATAATTCTGTACATCACTGTAGGCAGTGATCAACTGGCAGGGAAGGGGTTAATTTTTATTACGACTGGGTAAGGGGGGAAATTTTTTTTACTTTTTTTAAACGTTCTTTAAACACTTTTTAAATTTTTTTTTTAAGGTTAACCCCTAGCTAGCCTAACACCAAATTCCCCACTAACTTTCACCGACCCTGGCTAGCTAAATATATCATTTTAAATTTTTAAATTAATTAATAAAATAAATTTAAGCCCTGAGGGTTAAAAAAATAAAAATCAGATCCCTGCCAAATGAGCACTGTAGTCAGTGATCAATTGGCAGGGAAGGGGTTCATTTTATTAAAGCTGGAGAAAGGGGGTGGGATTTAACTTTTACTTTATTTATTTTTTTTACACAGGGAGAAGATCAACAGCACTGATCTGTCTCCCTGCACTTCACACTGAACACGAGAAGCACAGGGAGGTGGATCAGAAGTCCCTACAGCACATGTGCTCCCTCTGCAGGAACAGCGCAATTGGGTGCTCCCGGTCTGCCTCGAATAGCAAGGCAGACCGGAGGAGCGTTAACCCCGGGATCACGGCGATCTGGGGTTAATTTTATGGCAAGACAGGAGGCTTCATATTTGCTTATCTTTCTTTACTGAACCTCCCAGCAGCAAAGAAATGGTTAACAGTAATGTAAAACAAATTTAACCAATCAGAGTGTATAACAGTAGTATATGGTGTCATGAAGCTCCTCCCAAATCCTCTTTCTTTGCTGCTTGCCTCCCAGGTGAGTCTATTCCAATTATACAGCTATTTCATTCTGCCTATAATACAATATTTGAATATTTTCTGTGGTGCAAATTTTAGTTTTAGCATCATACATTCATGTTCACATATTGAACAAACTTTTTCTCTGGTAACCAACACTAACCATCACTCAAGTCCCTATAATTTCTCTTCACATTTCTTTCATCAAACCAATGCTTACAATTATGTTATGGTGAATATTTTTTTTATATTTTATTTATCATTTATGTCTCTTTAATTTGCCAGAGGCCTCCGCGACCTTTTCCACTGGTCTTCTGCCTACACCTATGTTACATTTGTGGCCGCAGGGTTTTCCCGCGATTCTACGGTGACTGAGGCATTAAGCCTCTGCTTCATTCAGTGCCGCGAACTCCATTTCCCTGGAGTCCGCGGCTCACTATTTCGCGCCTTTTTCGCCTACCCGCCCTCCCGCGTCTGTCACTCATACAGACGCGCGTCTTCCCGCCCTTTGCAGCGGCGGCCATCTTAGATTGCGGTCTTACTTCGTTTCGGCATGCTCGCTCCCCCTAATGTTGGATCCGGTAAGTACTTTGTTTTTACATTGCATAGCACCCTTAAAGTGCTACTCCTCTATTTCAATTATTTATTTTGCTTATTTCTTTTTTTCCTTTAACAGGCTGTCAGTTGAAAAAAATCCTGTTGTAATTTTTGCTAATAAAGAAGGCCTTGTGGGTGACCCCCACCTTTATTATCCCTCAATTTATTTAATGAGTGCTTATTGTGGGTGACCCCCATCTTTTATTCACTCTTCAGTTATAATAGGTGCCTATACACCACCTTTACAGTGGGTGAACCCCACTTCTACACATAAGGAAACACAAAGTGGAAACACAAAGTGATCCCATATATTTCAAGACATAACCATCTGTCTAAGTAAATTGAGTGACGAATCCCACTCACTGTTGTTATAGTGGTACAATCCACTTGTCTATTTTAGTGGTTACCCCACTAAATTTTGTATGCCGCCCTTTACCTATTATCTACAAAATAATTCGGGTGACCCCCATTTATAAAACTTAATTTGATACTATTGGGTGAACCCCACTTATTACCTATTCTTTAGCAATTGACTACCAGTCAAACCACTTAGGACATATCATGTCTGATAACACGGAGCCCGCAATCTCCCAAGAACTTAGAGATTGGCTGGTCTCAACCATTGCCGAATCCATTCCCAAGGCGTTAGCTGCCTTTCATGAGAAGACTTCTGCCAAAGTCAATACTACCGCACGCTTGCCTTCTGACTCCGAGGATTCTCAACCCTCGGATCAGGAGACCACACGTAAGCGCCCTTGGAAAGGGGATAGTAGGTCTGCGGGCAAGGGTAAGGCTCCTGCCAAGTCCCTAAAATTGACTGCCACTCAACCCGCCCACGCCATCTCCGACCCCTTAGAGGGCTCTACTTCCCACACGGGCAGGGGCGTACCTAGAGCATTTGGCACCCGTGGCGGATCCTGTGCGTGGCACCCCCCCCCCAAAAAAACAACAACAAACCTGTAAAAAATGTTAAAGGTTTTCTTTAATTAATCCACACTCCTTAATTAAACCATACCCCTTAATCCATACCCCTTAATTAATCCACACTAATTCATCCACACACCCTTAATCCACCCCCTTAATTGATACACACACCCTTAATTAATCCACACTAATTAATCCACCCCCTTAATTAATCCACCCCCATAATTAATCCATCCCCCCTTCATTAATACACCCCACTTAATTAATACACCCCCATAATTAATCCACCCCCTATAATTAAAACACCCCCCATAATTAATCCACTCTGCCTTAATTAATCCACCCCTATAATTAATCCACCCCCATAATTAATCCACCCCCATAATTATTAAACCCCCATAATTAATTCACCCCATAATTAATATACACCACCCCCATAATTAATACTCCCCATAATTATATATATACCCCCATAATTAATACTCCCCCATAATTAATACTCCCCCATAATTAATATACCCCCATAATTAATCCACCTCCCATAATTGATACACCCCCATTATTAATACACCCCATAATTAATACACCCCCAATAATTAATATAAACCCCCTCCTTTCTCTCACCCCCTGCTCTCACTTTCTCCTCTTTTCACCCCTCCTTTCTCTTTCTCACCCCCCCTCATTCTCTCTGCCCCCTTCCTCCTCTTTTCTTACCCCTCCTTTCTAACCTGCCCCCCCCTTTCTCCTCTTTTCCACTTTATTTCTCTTTCTTTTCACTTTTACTCTTTCTCCTCTTTTCACCCCCCCTCTCCCCTCCTTTCTCACCCCCCTCCCCTACCTGTGTAGTAGCGTGGCCAAGCCCAGTATAGTCGGCGGGTACAGAGAGCAGCTGTCTCCTGTACCCGGCCGGACTAACAGGAAGTGCACACTGTGTGCACTTCCTGTTAGTCCGGCCGGGTACAGGAAACAGCTGCTCCCTGTACCCGCCGACTATACTGTGCTCGGCCACGCTACAGCAAAGGAAGCTGACAGGAGGGAGCGCTGAGCGCTTCCCTCCTGTCAGCCTCTCCTCAGGTTGCGCCCGGGCGGTGCGGTCCGCCCTCATGGACGCACCGCCCGGGCAAAGCTGCAGCCGCCTGGCTCTCTACAGAGCGCTCGGGCGGCTGCAGCATGAGGGGGGGGGGCGGCGGGGCTGGTCATGGCACCCCCCATCCTGGTGGCACCCGGGGCGGACCGCCCCTCCCCGCCCCCCCCTTAGTACGCCACTGCACACGGGCGATAGGGTTGAAGATTATTGCCTTGATTATTCTGATGAGGACCCTTCGGCGAATGTGCTAGGGGATTCCCCATCAGAGTTTGTCAAGGAGACTTTCATATCACACAAAGAATCAGATGCAAAAGTTAATATGCAGAAGGGACCCGATTCAGACATTCTTCTGGATGCTTCGGGTGTCCCTTTTTTCGACCCCAGGGTCATTAAGCATCCACGGTCGGCCGAATGGGCCCCACCGGACCACATTTCTAACTTTTGCAGAATGTGGTTACGTAAACCACTTGAAAAATACATCAGGGCGAAACTCAGAGCCGAGTGCCCTCGACCAACCATTCCAAACAAGGTGGCCCTCACACCAGAGTTTGACCCTCTATTTGTAACATTCCTCACTAAGACGGGGAAAGATCCCCGCAAAGGCATTGAGCAGGGTCTTAAGACGGCCCAAGATAAACTCCTGGACATTGCTGGTCCAATCATTCAAATTTTTATACTGGCAGACGAAGCCATAACAAATGGCGAATTTGACCCCAACACAGTCAGAGAGTGGGCCCAGAGAGCCCTATGTTTCCTAGGCAACGCAAACATGTCCACTGAGAGACGCAGGGCGCATTGTACAAACTAGATGCTAAATTAGCTGATCTGAGCTCCCGAGAACTGGGACCTGAGGCCAATGGTCTGCTGTTTGGCGATTAATTTATGAGGGATCTCTCCAAACATGTAGCGGTATTCACTACCCTAAATAAGGCCCAATCCTCCTTGCGCAGGGTACTTCACAAAACTGATGAAACCAGTGATGGCATTGCTCCGATCACAGGGGATTCGGTCCATTATATATTTGGACGACATCCTGATAATGGCTCAAGACTCAAATCTTTTACGCAAACACATAGACATGACGACGGCCTTACTACAAAACCTTGGTTTTGTGATCAATTTCCAGAAATCAGCACTGAACCCTTCTCAGAAGGTTCAGTTTCTCGGATTTCTGATAGACTCCGTACAGGCGATTTTACAACTACCCTCCGCAAAGGTCAAATCTATAAAAAAAAGACATTTGCAAATTGCTATCAGCCCACCAGATTCGTCTACGCGATCTGGCCCATACTATAGGCCTACTGTCCTCCTCTATTCAAGCCATTTACCCGGGACCTCTGCATTACCGAGCCATGCAACGGCTCAAGACATACTACCTACACCGTTCCACTTCCTACGACCAACCCATCTACCTCACAGACGAGGTTCGGATAGAACTTCATTGGTGGCTTCATAACATGGAAGCCTGGAATGGCAAAGCCATTTTCGGATCACAACTAGACTTCATTCTGGAATCCGATGCCAGTCTCCTGGGATGGGGCGCCACGTGCGCCGACAGGTCGACTGGGGGACTATGGTCCCCCTCCGAACGAGCACTGCACATCAATTGCCTAGAATTGATTGCGGGATCTTTTGCGATTCGCAGTTTCGCAAAAGATTGTTTCAATTGTTCACTAGTACTACGCATGAACAACGTCTCTGCAGTGCATTATGTGAATCGGTTAGGAGGTTCCCGATCCAAACTACTGTCCGACCTTACCAAGGAACTTTACCAATTCTGCCTAGAGCGGAATTTAGCCATAAGAGCGGAATATCTCCCAGGCACAGATAACCTAGTCGCAGACTGGTTCTCTCACCATTGGAGGGATGTAAGCGACTGGCAATTGGACCCCCGCTTGTTCTATCAAATTCTTTGTCTTCGCGGGCCCCTCACACTGGACCTGTTTGCATCTCGGCTGAATCGCCAGACGGAGGCTTTTATCAGCTGGCTTCCAGATACCCTGTCCTGGGCAGTCGATGCCTTTCTACACCCTTGGCCAGAGAAGGGAGCTTATGCTTTTCCGCCTTTCTCCATGATCCAACGCACCCTTTACCGGGTCAAAGCTCTAGTAGTGACAATAGTTATTGTCACTCCGTTATGGAGAGCCCAGACTTGGTTTCCAACTCTGCTAGAAATGTCTGTGAATTGCCCAATTCTATTACCTCGATCCCCCGACATCCTCAAGAATCCAGCAGGGCACTGTCACCCACTCGCCCTTCAAGGGCGACTCCAGCTTGGACCATTTCAGGGGATCCTGGAATGTCTCGGGACTTTCAGAGACAGCTCAGACTCTCCTATGGGACTCCTGGGCCCCAGGCACTAGACGGGCTTACCTCGCTGCATGGCGAACATGGGTCAGCTGGTGTTTGGAAAGGGATACCGATCCCTTTTCAGCACCTCTGACGATTATCCTAAACTTTCTGTCTACCCTATTTGATCAAGGCAAGTCCTATAGATCAATTAATGTTTTTAGATCAGCTATTTCTGCGGCCCACAACCCTATTGACAATACATCAATAGGCAAACATCCTTCAGTCTGTAAACTTTTACGAGGGATCAGGCTTGCCAGGCCCCCTCTTCCCAAATATTCCAATTTCTGGGATGTTGCTCAGGTTTTTTCCCTTTTAGAATCCTGGCCCTCTAATGAGAATTTGACGTTACGTCAACTCTCTGCCAAACTGGCCTTACTTTTATGTCTGGTGTCCTTCCGTCGGGTCTCCGACATTCGAGCATTTTATTCCCATGCTATAGCTTTCTTGCCGGAAGGCGTCAAATTTCACATCACGAGGCGAACAAAGACCAATTCTACCGCCGTTTTTTACCCTTACTTTCCGACTAGACAGTCACTCTGTGTGGCGCTCTGCTTAAGGCACTATATAGCTGCCACAGCCACTCTGCGTCCCCCTACAGGACCCCTTCTCGTGTCCTATGTCAAACCACACAAACCGGTGTCCGCTCCCACAGTCGCGCGGTGGATCAGATGGATACTAGCCCAAGCAGACATTGACTCTTCTTTTGGGGCGCATTCAGTCAGAGGAGCAGCCGCATCCTCAGCGTTTCATGCGGGTAGCTCCCTCTCGGACATTCTGGCATCTGCGGATTGGTCCAGGGAGTCTACATTTCGTACATTCTACTTCAAACCTATGCCACATGCTGCATCTTCTATAATATAGGAGCGTTAAAACAGCAAATATGAAGCCTCCTGTCTTGCCATAAAATTAGGGATTATTCTAGCTCTGGTGACTGAATAATCTAAATTTTATTAACGACAGGAGGCGAATATTTTCCCTCCCTTCTTGTCTTCAGTATTATTTCTACCCACCCTAAGGTAAGTTGCTAGGTATTCGTCCCTAGTCGATCTGTTTCAGACATACTCACACATCATCTGACATAGGTTTATACCACAACACTTTAACCAGGCATTTGATATATTTAATATCATTTCACATGAAATGTTTGGGGATTGTTAGTCCTAGTATGCTTGCCATAAACATGCATTCAATCAGTATAAGAGCCTATACTCTCATAGTTTTTTCTCTACTTCCCCTTAGTGTGAAGAACCCCAACGCTTGGGATTTATGGATCTATCAACCCGCTGCAAGTTTACATGGTTGACTGCATCAGGACTCCGGCTTAGTCCACAGTTCATTATTTTGGTTTACATGGTTGATACTCGGGTGCCGTCGGCTACAGCAAGAAAGAGGATTTGGGAGGAGCTTCATGACACCATATACTACTGTTATACACTCTGATTGGTTGAATTTGTTTTACATTACTGTTAACCATTTCTTTGCTGCTGGGAGGTTCAGTAAAGAAAGATAAGCAAATATTCGCCTCCTGTCGTTAATAAAATTTAGATTATTCAGTCACCAGGGCTAGAATAATCCCTAATTTTAGGGCATGACGTACCGGGTCCGTCATCCGGCGTTAAGTGTTTTCTCAGCATGACGGACATAGTCCGTCATCCGGGGTTAAAGAAAAGCTCCTTTCTACCTCTAAACACACATATCATCCAATGTCTTCCCTCAACCCCCTCCACCAACATACACACTACAATCCTTATTACTCCTGGACACATACATTACAACTTTAATTTCCTCACACACACTAACTACAGCCTCGATTACGACCCAAAGGGCGTGCATGCACTATGGGCTGTAAGTGGATTGCACATGGTACTTGTGGTGTGAGGAGGGGACATGGAAGGCACACTACAGTCCCAGTTTCCTAAACTCCCCATTATTAATTATTATTCTGAGACTTGAAATTGCTGTTTAGTGAATAAGCGAGTGCAGTGGATTTTGTATGTTATATATCTGTATACATATATATATATATATATATATATATATATATAAATATACACACAGACTTATGACTTATTATACATTTATTTATAAAGTATTTTACCAGGAAAGATACATGTTGTTTTCAAGTATGTACTTGTCCCACAAACATTGCTTTGTTGTAATAGGGTAAATTTAACCAGCGAACAGGTAAGAAATATAATCAAATACATCTGTCAACATATTTACAAAAATAAAAACACAAATAAAATGTCCCTATAAAGAGATCTCGTGATGCCCTAGGGCCTACACAATATTTACATTTGTCAGTAGGTGTCTTGTGAGCATTTACCGGTATACAGTGCTTTACTCACTCTGATAAGCCAAGACCATCTCCCGTATTTATCTATCTCCCATTACTGTATTGGGGCATACTACAAGGGTGCCAAGAGGAGGGCATGTTTTTAAAACATTGGGCGTGGTCTTCTGTAAGTGACAGCAGGAATAGCCAATCAGGTAGGTGATGTGCAACACTGCACCGTGATTGGCAGGTGGAGGAGTTTAGGTAAAGGGGCGGTGGGATAGGTGACGCTCCTCAGTGTGTGCTGCTGCATGCGGACCGCTAGGACACCGACAGGAAGTGATGTTGCTGGGTAAGGTGGACTGTGAGCTGGAGTTTCTTATTATCCCTGGTTTATAATGTGTGTGTATGGGATATTACATCTCATTGCCCCTGGCTTATAGTGTGTGTGTATGGGATATTACATCTCATTGCTCCTGGTTTATAGTGTGTGTGTATGGGATATTACATCTCATTGCTCCTGGCTTATAGTGTGTGTGTATATGGGATATGGTTTATAGTGTGTGTGTATGGGATATTACATCTCATTGCCCCTGGTTTATAGTGTGTGTATGGGATATTACATCTCATTGCTCCTGGTTTATAGTGTGTGTATGGGATATTACATATCATTGCTCCTGGTTTATAGTATGTGTATGGGATATTACATCTCATTGCTCCTGGTTTATAGTGTGTGTGTGTGTGTGTGTGTATGGGATATTACATCTCATTGCTCCTGGTTTATAGTGTGTGTGTATATGGGATATTACATCTCATTGCTCCTGGTTTATAGTGTGTGTATGGGATATTACATCTCATTGCCCCTGGCTTATAGTGTGTGTGTGTGTATGGGATTTTACATCTCATTGATCCTGGTTTATAGTGTGTGTGTGTGTGTGTGTGTGTGTGTGTGTGATATTACATCTCATTGCTCCTGGTTTATAGTGTGTGTGTGTGTGTGTGTATATGGGATATTACATCTCATTGCTCCTGGTTTATTGTGTGTGTGTGTGTGTGTGGATATTACATCTCATTGCTCCTGGTTTATAGTGTGTGTGTGTGTGTGTGTATATGGGATATTACATCTCATTGCTCCTGGTTTATTGTGTGTGTGTGTGTATATGGGATATTACATTTCATTGCTTGAAATTGCTGTTTAGTGAATAAGCGAGTGCAGTGGATTTTGTATGTTATATATCTGTATACATATATATATATATATAAATATACACACAGACTTATGACTTATTATACATTTATTTATAAAGTATTTTACCAGGAAAGATACATGTTGTTTTCAAGTATGTACTTGTCCCACAAACATTGCTTTGTTGTAATAGGGTAAATTTAACCAGCGAACAGGTAAGAAATATAATCAAATACATCTGTCAACATATTTACAAAAATAAAAACACAAATAAAATGTCCCTATAAAGAGATCTCGTGATGCCCTAGGGCCTACACAATATTTACATTTGTCAGTAGGTGTCTTGTGAGCATTTACCGGTATACAGTGCTTTACTCACTCTGATAAGCCAAGACCATCTCCCGTATTTATCTATCTCCCATTACTGTATTGGGGCATACTACAAGGGTGCCAAGAGGAGGGCATGTTTTTAAAACATTGGGCGTGGTCTTCTGTAAGTGACAGCAGGAATAGCCAATCAGGTAGGTGATGTGCAACACTGCACCGTGATTGGCAGGTGGAGGAGTTTAGGTAAAGGGGCGGTGGGATAGGTGACGCTCCTCAGTGTGTGCTGCTGCGTGCGGACCGCTAGGACACCGACAGGAAGTGATGTTGCTGGGTAAGGTGGACTGTGAGCTGGAGCTTCTTATTATCCCTGGTTTATAATGTGTGTGTATGGGATATTGCATCTCCTTGCCCCTGGTTTATAATGTGTGTATGGGATATTACATCTCATTGCCCCTAGTGTGTGTGTGTGATATCACATCTCATTGCTCCTGGTTTATAGTGTGTGTATATGGGATATTACATCTCATTGCCCCTATTGTGTGTGTGTGTGTGTGTGTGTGTGTGTGTGTGTGTGTGTGTTATTACATCTCATTGCTCCTGGTTTATAGTGTGTGTGTTATTACATCTCATTGCTCCTGGTTTATAGTGTGTGTGTGTGTGTGTGTGTGTTATTACATCTCATTGCTCCTGGTTTATAGTGTGTGTGTGTGGTGTGTGAATGGGATATTACATCTCATTGCTCCTGGTTTATAGTGTGTGTGTATATGGGATATTACATCTCATTGCCCCTAGTGTGTGTGTGGGATATTACATCTCCTTGCTCCTGGTTTATAGTGTGTGTGTGTGTGTGTGTGTGTGTGTGTGTGGGATATTACATCTCCTTGCCCCTGGTTTATAATGTGTGTGTGTGTGTGTGTGTGTGTGTATGGGATATTACATCTCATTGCTCCTGGTTTATAGTGTGTGTATGGGATATTACATCTCATTGCCCCTGGCTTATAGTGTGTGTGTGTATGGGATATTGCATCTCCTTGCCCCTGGTTTATAATGTGTGTATGGGATATCACATCTCATTGCTCCTGGTTTATAGTGTGTGTATATGGGATATTACATCTCATTGCCCCTAGTGTGTGTGTGGGATATTACATCTCATTGCTCCTGGTTTATTGTGTGTGTGTGTGTGTGTGTATGTGTGTGTGTGTGTGGGATATTACATCTCCTTGCCCCTGGTTTATAATGTGTGTATGGGATATTACATCTCATTGCTCCTGGTTTATAATGTGTGTGTGTGTGTGTGTGGGATATTACATCTCCTTGCCCCTGGTTTATAATGTGTGTATGGGATATTACATATCATTGCTCCTGGTTTATAGTGTGTGTATATGGGATATTACATCTCATTGCCCCTATTGTGTGTGTGTGTGTGTGTGTGTGTTATTACATCTCATTGCTCCTGGTTTATAGTGTGTGTGTGTGTGTGTGTGTGTGTGTGTTATTACATCTCATTGCTCCTGGTTTATAGTGTGTGTGTGTGTGTGTGTATGGGATATTACATCTCATTGCTCCTGGTTTATAGTGTGTGTATGGGATATTACATCTCATTGCTCCTGGTTTATAGTGTGTATGGGATATTACATCTTATTGCTCCTGGTTTATAGTGTGTGTGTGTGTATATGGGATATTACATCTCATTGCCCCTAGTGTGTGTGTGTGTGTGTGTGTGTGTGTGTGTGTATATGGGATATTACATCTCATTGCTCCTGGTTTATAGTGTGTGTATGGGATATTACATCTCATTGCCCCTGGCTTATAGTGTGTGTGTATGGGATATTGCATCTCCTTGCCCCTGGTTTATAATGTGTGTATGGGATATCACATCTCATTGCTCCTGGTTTATAGTGTGTGTATATGGGATATTACATCTCATTGCCCCTAGTGTGTGTGTGGGATATTACATCTCATTGCTCCTGGTTTATTGTGTGTGTGTGTGTGTGTGTATGTGTGTGTGTGTGTGGGATATTACATCTCCTTGCCCCTGGTTTATAATGTGTGTATGGGATATTACATCTCATTGCTCCTGGTTTATAATGTGTGTGTGTGTGTGTGTGGGATATTACATCTCCTTGCCCCTGGTTTATAATGTGTGTATGGGATATTACATATCATTGCTCCTGGTTTATAGTGTGTGTGTGTGTATATGGGATATTACATCTCCTTGCCCCTGGTTTATAATGTGTACATGGGATATTACATCTCCTTGCCCCTGGTTTATAATGTGTGTATGGGATATTACATCTCATTGCTCCTGGTTTATAGTGTGTGTATATGGGATATTACATCTCATTGCCCCTAGTGTGTGGGGGATATTACATCTCATTGCTCCTGGTTTATAGTGTGTGTGTGTGTGTGTATATGCGATATTGCATCTCGTTGCCCCTGGCTTATAATGTGTGTATGGGATATTAAATCTCATTGCTCCTGGTTTATAGTGTGTGTGTGTGTGTGTGTGTGTGTGTGTGTGGGATATTACATCTCCTTCCTCCTGGTTTATAGTGTGTGTGTGTGTGTGGGATATTGAATCTCCTTGCTCCTGGTTTATAGTGTGTATGGGATATTACATCTCATTGTTCCTGGTTTATAGTGTGTGTATGGGATATTAAATCTCATTGCTCCTGGTTTATAGTGTGTGTGTGTGTGTGTGTGTGTACATGGGATATTACATCTCATTGCTCCTGGTTTATAGTGTGTGTGTGTGTGTGTGTGTATATGGGATATTGCATCTCTTTGCCCCTGGTTTATAATGTGTGTATGGGATATTACATCTCATTGCTCCTGGTTTATAGTGTGTGTATATGGGATATTACATCTCATTGCCCCTAGTGTGTGTGGGATATTACATCTCATTGCTCCTGGTTTATAATGTGTGTATGGGATATTACATATCATTGCTCCTGGTTTATAGTGTGTGTGTGTGTGTGTGTGTGTGTGTTATTACATCTCCTTGCCCCTGGTTTATAATGTGTGTATGGGATATTACATATCATTGCTCCTGGTTTATAGTGTGTGTGTGTGTATATGGGATATTACATCTCCTTGCCCCTGGTTTATAATGTGTATGGGATATTAAATCTCATTGCTCCTTGTTTATAGTGTGTGTATGGGATATTACATCTCCTTGCTCCTGGTTTATAGTGTGTGTGTGTGTGTGTGTGTGTGTGTGTGTTATTACATCTCATTGCTCCTGGTTTATAGTGTGTGTGTGTGTGTGTGTATATGGGATACTGCATCTCCTTGCCCCTGGTTTATAATGTGTATATGGGATATTACATCTCATTGCTCCTGGTTTATAGTGTGTATATGGGATATTACATCTCCTTGCTCCTGGTTTATAGTGTGTATATGGGATATTACATCTCATTGCTCCTGGTTTATAGTGTGTGTATGGGATATTACATCTCCTTGCTCCTGGTTTATAATGTGTGTATGGGATATCACATCTCATTGCTCCTGGTTTATAGTGTGTGTATATGGGATATTACATCTCATTGCCCCTAGTGTGTGTGTGTGTGTGTGTGTGTGTGTGTGTGTGTGTGTGATATTACATCTCATTGCTCCTGGTTTATAGTGTGTGTGTGTGTGTGTGTGTGTGTATGGGATATTACATCTCATTGCTCCTGGTTTATAGTGTGTGTATGGGATATTACATCTCATTGCTCCTGGTTTATAGTGTGTGTGTATGGGATATTACATCTCATTGCTCCTGGTTTATAGTGTGTATGGGATATTACATCTTATTGCTCCTGGTTTATAGTGTGTGTGTATATGGGATATTACATCTCATTGCCCCTAGTGTGTGGGATATTACATCTCATTGCTCCTGGTTTATAGTGTGTGTGTGTGTGTGTGTGTGAGATATTGAATCTCCTTGCTCCTGGTTTATAGTGTGTGTATGGGATATTACATCTCATTGCTCCTGGTTTATAGTGTGTATGGGATATTACATCTCATTGCTCCTGGTTTATAGTGTGTGTATGGGATATTACATCTCATTGCTCCTGGTTTATAGTGTGAATGGGATATTACATCTCATTGCTCCTGGTTTATAGTGTGTGTGTATATGGGATATTACATCTCATTGCCCCTAGTGTGTGTGTGGGATATTACATCTCCTTGCTCCTGGTTTATAGTGTGTGTGTGTGTGTGTGTGTGTGTGTGTGTGGGATATTACATCTCCTTGCCCCTGGTTTATAATGTGTGTGTGTGTGTGTGTGTGTGTGTATGGGATATTACATCTCATTGCTCCTGGTTTATAGTGTGTGTATGGGATATTACATCTCATTGCCCCTGGCTTATAGTGTGTGTGTGTATGGGATATTGCATCTCCTTGCCCCTGGTTTATAATGTGTGTATGGGATATCACATCTCATTGCTCCTGGTTTTATAGTGTGTGTATATGGGATATTACATCTCATTGCCCCTAGTGTGTGTGGGGGATATTACATCTCATTGCTCCTGGTTTATAGTGTGTGTGTGTGATATTATATCTCCTTGCCCCTGGTTTATAATGTGTGTATGGGATATTACATCTCATTGCTCCTGGTTTATTGTGTGTGTGTGTGTGTGTGTGTGTGTGTGTGTATATGCGATATTGCATCTCGTTGCCCCTGGTTTATAATGTGTGTATGGGATATTAAATCTCATTGCTCCTGGTTTATAGTGTGTGTATATGGGATATTACATCTCATTGCTCCTGGTTTATAGTGTGTGTGCGTGTGTGTGTGTGTGTGTGTGATATTGAATCTCCTTGCTCCTGGTTTATAGTGTGTATGGGATATTACATCTCATTGTTCCTGGTTTATAGTGTGTGTGTATGGGATATTACATCTCATTGCTCCTGGTTTATAGTGTGTGTGTGTATATGGGATATTACATCTCATTGCTCCTGGTTTATAGTGTGTGTGTGTGTGTGTGTGTGTGTGTATATGGGATATTGCATCTCTTTGCCCCTGGTTTATAATGTGTGTATGGGATATTACATCTCATTGCTCCTGGTTTATAGTGTGTGTATATGGGATATTACATCTCATTGCCCCTAGTGTGTGTGTGGGATATTACATCTCATTGCTCCTGGTTTAGTGTGTGTGTGTGTGTGTGGGATATTACATCTCCTTGCCCCTGGTTTATAATGTGTGTATGGGATATTACATCTCATTGCTCCTGGTTTATAGTGTGTGTATATGGGATATTACATCTCATTGCTCCTGGTTTATAGTGTGTGTGTGTGTGTGTGTGTGTGTGTATATGGGATATTACATCTCCTTGCCCCTGGTTTATAATGTGTGTATGGGATATTACATCTCATTGCTCCTGGTTTATAGTGTGTGTATATGGGATATTACATCTCATTGCTCCTGGTTTATAGTGTGTGTGTGTGTGTATATGCGATATTGCATCTCGTTGCCCCTGGTTTATAATGTGTGTATGGGATATTAAATCTCATTGCTCCTGGTTTATAGTGTGTGTGTGTGTGTATATGGGATATTACATCTCATTGCTCCTGGTTTATAGTGTGTGTGTGTGTGATATTGAATCTCCTTGCTCCTGGTTTATAGTGTGTGTATGGGATATTACATCTCATTGTTCCTGGTTTATAGTGTGTGTATGGGATATTACATCTCATTGCTCCTGGTTTATAGTGTGTGTGTGTGTGTGTATATGGGATATTGCATCTCTTTGCCCCTGGTTTATAATGTGTGTATGGGATATTACATCTCATTGCTCCTGGTTTAGTGTGTGTGTATGGGATATTACATCTCATTGCTCCTGGTTTATTGTGTGTGTATGGGATATTACATCTCATTGTTCCTGGTTTATAGTGTGTGTATATGGGATATTACATCTCATTGCTCCTGGTTTATAGTGTGTGTATGGGATATTACATCTCATTGCTCCTGGTTTATAGTGTGTATGGGATATTACATCTCATTGCTCCTGGTTTATAGTGTGTGTGTATATGGGATATTACATCTCATTGCCCCTAGTGTGTGGGATATTACATCTCATTGCTCCTGGTTTATAGTGTGTGTGTGTGTGTGTGTGTGAGATATTGAATCTCCTTGCTCCTGGTTTATAGTGTGTGTATGGGATATTACATCTCATTGCTCCTGGTTTATAGTGTGTGTGTGTGTGTGTGTGTGTGTATATATGGGATATTGCATCTCTTTGCCCCTGGTTTATAATGTGTGTATGGGATATTACATCTCATTGCTCCTGGTTTAGTGTGTGTGTGTGTGTGTGTGTGTGAGATATATATTGAATCTCCTTGCTCCTGGTTTATAGTGTGTGTATGGGATATTACATCTCATTGTTCCTGGTTTATAGTGTGTGTATGGGATATTACATCTCATTGCTCCTGGTTTATAGAGTGTGTGTGTGTGTATATGGGATATTACATCTCATTGCTCCTGGCTTATAGTGTGTGTGTATATGCGACATTACATCTCATTGCTCCTGGCTTATAGTGTGTGTGTGTGTATATATGGGATATTAGATCTCATTGCTCCTGGCTTATAGTGTGTGTGTGTATATATGGGATATTAGATCTCATTGCTCCTGGTTTATAGTGTGTGTGTGTGTGTGTATGGGATATTACATCTCACTTCCCTTGGTTTAGTGTGAGTGTATTTCAGCTTATAGTGTGTAGTGGTTCTTGGGGGACATGCTGGAATCCCAATGTTATTGCCATTCATTAGTGAAGGTCACCTTGTGGCCTGCACTCTTTGTATATTACCTGTTAACAGTGTATATTAGCGTGTGCACAGTTTATACTGCCTGTTATCAGTGTGTATTGGTGTGCACTCTGTGTATATACTGCCTGTTATTAGTGTGGACTCTGTATGTCCCGCCTGTTAGTATGCATGAGTGTCTAGGAAAAATGGTCGGTCTGGTTGCCCTCAGTGTACCAATCATGGCTAGGAGACAAGTGTGGACAAATTATTCTTCTTGACCTGTAATAGGGTGTATGTACTTACTCGAAGTGTGATGACTTGATTGTTACTTGAAACATTTAATATCTAAAGCGGTGTTATCCTTATTTTCTGTTTGTGATTGTTATGCATTCACTATGTTCATATAAGGTGTAGTAGTGTTAGTAATTTACCAGTATACTAGTTCAGTTGATGGGAAGCTATCTCTTATAGTTTACTCCCATTAAAGGAACACTGTAACTTTAGGAATAAAAATATGTTTAATGTTACTGTCCCAAGTACTACCAGGTCTCATATCTCCTCCCTCCTCCTCCTCCAGCAGTGAAATGGTTAAAAAACCCTTTACTCCCTTATTTCCATGGCTGAGGTGCACTCTCCTCCCCAGTGCAGTCATGAAGAATGCAAGGCAGGGCCTCTTCTGCTGATGTTCAATCCAGTGCTCCTCTTAGAGCGTTTCGACCTAATTCGCATGCACAGTCTGTGTAGTGAAACAGCCTATAGTGGCTGCCAGAGGACGATTTAACCATGCAATGTCAACATTGCATTTTTTCAAACTGCAGTGTTTTTTTTTGTTTTTGTTTTTTTTTCATTGCAAGGCTAAGGGAACAGGACCATTGCAGACCATTTCATTGAGATGAAGTGGCCTCCGCACGTGTATATGATTAGTAGTTATCTTACAACTGTTAATCTGCTGTCTTGTACTGGTGTCTGTACATGTAGATATTCTGTGCTCACTTCAGTGTCGTTTATATGCTTCGGTGGAATGCTTTGCTTTCAGGACAATCTAGACAAGGTTGTGGATGAGGCCAATCACTGGCCTTGTTAGGTAGGACATGCAAAGAAAATGTGACTTAAGCTGCATAACAGTGATTGAAAGTCTAAAAGGCAGAGAATTGATCAAGAAGGCTGCTGGTACATAATCTATACACCAAAACCACTCCATTAAAGGGATTCTATAGTGCCTGGAAAATAAACCAGGTTTTCAGGCATTATAGGCTGCTGCAGCGCCCACCCCACCCCCACCTCTGGTGCTGAAGGGGTTAAAACCCCTTCAGCCACTTACCTGAATCCATGTATCTTGATGCTAAGTCAGGCTCTGTCCATGCTCCTCCCCCACCGGATGATGACCGCGCTCTCGTTAGGATTTCCACGGGGGATGCTAGATCGGAGTGACCGTCAGGAGGTGGGTGCACAGCGCTACCTCCTGCCATGCACTCTGTGTAGCCTGGTTGAGTGGAGCAGTGTGCACCGTGGTATAGTTACTTATGTTTCCTGTACCCGGCCAGTCTGAAAGGAAGTGCTCCCTGAGAGAGCACTTCCTAACAGTCCGGCTGGGTACAGGAGACTGAATCTCCTGTACCGTGTTGCCCTCTGCTCGGCCACGCTACCAGGAGACACACCGGAGAGCAGGGACCAAAGAGGGGAGAAAGGACCACTATGGGACAGGGGTGCAGAACATTATGGGACTGGGGGAGTGGGTGGTAAGGAACACTATATCGATATCGAGGAATCGTGGAATACCGCCTCACTGCCGGGCATCCGAGTGATCGCTCCCCCCTCTCCCCGGAGAGACCCCTTCTGGGTTGCCGCACATGGCGCCAATTTGTGTAGTGCAGAGTAGGGATAAACTGATTATCGGTCTGGCCGATATTCTGTATTTTCAGCAAGAGATCGTCCGCTGTCGATAATGCGGACCTGGGTGGGCCCAGCAAGCTCTTACTTACCCCCAGCAGCTCCATTCTGTTTACGCTGTGTAAATCTTGCGAGTCCCGCGGTCGTCAAAGGGTTGCCACAGGTTACCATGGCAACACTCCACACAGCACGCTGACTGCTAGAGTTGGACAGGGGAGCTGCTGGGAGGTTAAGAGATTTTTGGGTCCTCCAGGGAATACAATATCCCCCCTCCCTGGCCAAGTAAGGAGCAGGGAGGGGGTGACTAAAACATTATTTAAAAAAATTAAATATAAAAATGCCCCTTCCCCCATTTTACACGCTTGACAGACATACCTACTCAAACACACTTTGTGCAGTGTGTTTGTGCAGTGTATGTATATAATGAATGCTTATGTACACTCTGCATTTATGTACACTACATAAACATTCACAGCACAAATACACTACACAAACACACTGCACTCACTATACACACTACACAAACACACACTGTGCAGTGTTTGTGTAGTGTTTGTGCAGCGTGTGTATAACAAATGCAAACACACTCTGCATTCATTATATACCCGCACTCTGAGGTGTGTGTAATGTGTATGTATATATTGCACTCACAGGTTTTTAACAAGTGATTAATTTATTCTGAAGTGCAAATTACATATGCCAAAACTATAGTGATCGCCGTTTTGACCCTTAAAGGGCTTTTTTCACAGTCATGAAAAAGGCCCTTTAAGGGTCGAAACGTCGATCACTATATTTTTGGCATATGTAATTTGCACTTCAGAATAAATTAATCACTTGTTAAAGACCTGTGAGTGCACCTTATATGTATTATTTATGGTATCTATTTTGACGCTGAGGTTTGCACCCAGGCAAGAACATTTATTCAGCAGCAAAGGGTGAGTGCAAAGTCTATTTCTCTTATATAAATTTATGTGTGTATGTATTCCCCTTCACTCACACTTTAAACACTTCACTGCCGGGCGCATATACCAGGGCTCCACATAACACAACTCCAAAATAGCAATGGCTGCTCTCTAGTCTTTAAAAATAAAAAATGTATTGAATCAAGTTTAAAATAACGACCAACGTTTCAGTCCTCGTTCGGGGAAAGAAATATGTGACCCTGAGGAAAGTCCCGAACAATACATTTTTTTTATTTTTAAAGACTGGAGAGCAGCCATTGCTATTTTGGAGATAAATATATCTATCACACTGGATTCACTAATCAAATACTCTCACTGCACACACATTCTTGTAAACATAAAAAAACACTGTTCTGTATATTTTGTGCATTTACCTTAATAAAAAAGATTTGCAAAATAAACATGTTCAGTTAACAGTAGATGTGTGTAGAAATAGTTGTCTATTTTTTTTAAATGGTAAATATACAGAATATCGGTAAATTATCGGCTATTGGTCTGAAAGTTCAGATTATCAGTATCTGCTCAAAAAAATATCGGTCGATCCCTACTTGTTCTGAATAGAAATGTGTGCCTGTCACCAATGATATTTAATTATGACTGACCTGATTTTAGTACGTGTCTAGATGTAGGTGTCCTAAGATGTTGGGATGAAACTTTTAAGATGAGCGGTTTTGATTACTCTGGGAGGTTTTTTCTTTGTTTTCTTTACACTGTGCAGCACTGCCCCAGGAAGCGCCACTAGCAGCCATCTGAGGAGCTCCCTTTTCTCTGAAGAGTGTTTGCTGGTTTCCCTTCATGAATCAGTCTGTTCTGTTGTAAATTGGGAGCATAAGGCCAAATATCACATTACCGATATGGTTGCATTTCCGCGTGGAAATCCTCCATGTATAGATTGACAAAATTAAAGGAACACTATAGTCAAAGCAGTTTTAGTGTATATATAATTCCCCTGCAATTTCACTGCTCAATTCACTGCTATTTAGGAGTTAAATCACTGTTTCTGTTTATGCAGCCCTAGCCACACCTCCCCTGGCTATGATTGACAGAGCTTGCATGGAAAAAAAATGGTTTCACTTTCAAACAGATGTAATTTACCTTAATTGTATCTCAATCTCTAAATTGAACTTTAATCACATACAGGAGGCTCTTGCAGGGTCTAGCAAGCTATTAACATAGCAGGGGATAAGAAAATCCTAATTAAACAGAACTTGCAATAAAGAGCATAAATAGGGCTCTTTACAGGAAGTGTTTATGGAAGGCTGTGCAAGTCACATGCAGGGAGGTGTGACTAGGGTTCATAAACAAAGGGATTTAACTCTGAAATGGCAGTGGATTGGGCAGTGAGCCTGCAGGGGCATGTTCTATACACCAAAACTGCTTCATTAAGCTAAAGTTGTTAAACTACAAATGCATGCTAACTACAAATGCATGCCTTATGGCAGTAATGGCCAACCTATTGCACGCCATGCCCATAGAATGTGAGCAGCGTTGGCACCAGTCGGCAGCAATGCAGAGTAGGCACCTGCATGCCCAAAAAAGCAGGCGTCTGCTCTGCTTTTGTATCGGGAGAACCTGGAGGCAGGGGGAGGGATCTGGAAAGCAGCTCCCCTGTCCTCCCACGCGCAGGCTGTGTGAAGTGTTGCTGCATGTTACTATGGCAATGCTCCACACAGCATTGTGCGGGAAAACAGGACAGCTGCAGCTAGACACATACCACCACCACCACCACCACCAGGGCTGGCTGTCCCTTTTTTTTTTTTTTTCACCAAAAAGGTTGGGGAGGGGGGAAAGGAATAAAGATTTTATGTATGTCAGGATTATTTAAAAAATACACATTTGCTACCTGCAGCACCCCTCCCCAGGGCCGGACTAGCCCACTGGAATACCTGGAAAATTTCCCGGTGGGCCGGCACACTAGCAGGCTGATGTGCGGCCACCTAGTGCGCAATTACAGGGTGACAAGCAGGAGTGGATGCGCACCCTCCTGCTTCTCACAGAATGTAGCATGGCCGAGCAGGCAGACCACAGTAGAGGAGCTTCTATTACCCTCCCTGGTCTGACAGGAAGTGCTCAGAGCACATAACTGCTTCCTGTCAGACCAGGTACAATGAGCAGGAATTCCTCCACAACTGCCTGCTCGGCCATGCTACAGGAAGAGCTAGGAGAAGGGAGGGCACTAATGGGACATGGGGAGAGCTGGGGGTGGGGGGGGGGCGAGAGGACTAATGGGACACGGAGAGCTAGGGGAGGGGCGGGACTAATGGGACACGGAGAGTGCTAGGAGGGGACCAATGGGGCAAGGGAGAGGGGAGGGGGACTAATGGGACACGGGGAGAGCTAGGGGAGGGGGGACTAATGGGACACGGGGGGGACTAATGGGGCACGGGGAGAGCTAGGGGAGGGGCGGGGGGACTATAGGCTGAGCACTGTAAATGCTACCTTTTTTCAGAGTAAAGGCAGGATTTACTTATGAACATCTCTAGTGACGGTCACTCAGATGGCCACTAGAGCTGCTTAATAATGTTTTTTTTACTGCTGTGCAATAGCATACATTCACAATTTCAGTCCAAATGACCAATCTTTTCTTGATAAATCAAGAAAATGGACAAACTTTGATCATATGCAAATGCACGTCTGCTTACAATAAACCAGCTCTTTTGTTTATTTTGAAGCTCTGTGAGTGCTTTCTTTCACGTTTGAGTGATAGATTTCTGTTTTGAGGGTTTATTTTTATTTTTTGCTTCCATATCCGCACACTATGCTGGTGCGATGCATTATGGGGCAGGTATAGAATTTTTTTTTTTCCCAGGGCTGCTTTTCATTTCCAGTCGGGACCTGCCTCCCTCCCTCCCTCGCACACAGCGCCACTGCAAACGCGCTCTGTGTGGCGTGGCGCGGCGCACATACTAAAAATGTAAGCTTAATTTTATCTAATTTATATCATTTATAATTTGTTTTATTGAACTTTTTTTTTTTTAAACAAGATGTGAGTTTGGACAACTGTACGAGTTTTTTTTTTTTTCTAAACTTAAACCTCAGTATTCAGGCTTAATTGCTGTGTTGGCACTTTGAGGGGAAAACAAAGTTGGCATGTATTGCAGTTTGGGCACTTGGGCTCAAAGGTTCACCATCATGTATCTTGTCAGCAACAGCAAACCTATTGCTCACAATGCTACTATATAGAATTGTCAATTTGGATCCAAGTACATCCTGTACTATTTTGCATAGATATATATTTTTTTGAGCTTTTTATTTTAACACAGAGCTGTAGAAAGGTATTAATTGCAAACTGTTTTGCATCTTTTCTCTTTTGCTATAGTTAACCAGCACTTGCATTTCTTGTCAACAAAGTTTGTTCTTATACCTAAAATGTCAGTTTCAGAATTCCGACTAATGGCCAAATGAGACTATTTTTGTCAGAACAGCGTTTCTTCTGAATACAAATGCCCAGGTCTATTGCTTAGCTTGCCTATTACAACAGTTTAAAGGCATTGTCCTACATAACAAGGCCAGTGACTGGCCTCATCCACAACCTCTATACTCTGTCCTGAAAGCAAAGAATTCCACCGCAGTATATAAACGACTCTGAAGTGAGCACAAATTATCTATATGTACAGACTCCAGTAAAAGACAGCAGATTAACATAATTATACTATTACTAACTATATGCACATGTTGAGACCCCTTGTTTCCATGTCTGTGTGCTACTCTCTACAAACGAACACCACAATTACCCAAGACTACTTTTTTATTGTTTTGTCGTCGTAAAGAATCTTTAGGTGAGCTAGATTAAGTTTAAGACCTTGTTTGTTAAAGGGCATCTTGGGTGTAAAAAAAAAATTCTTCAGTCTTGTGCCAGCTTAGGTTATGAGGTTTGTTAAAATGGTGTAAAATGTAAATATTTGAAAATTTGCTGCATGAAGTTACTTATTTTTATTTATTTTGTGTGGAGAGGGCTGCAATGAGGGGGGCAAACGGTCTTTAGGGGATAGATGGATAATCTCCCTATGACACTGAGAATTGTTAGTCAAAATGTCCAGGGATTAAATACAACGGGCAATAGGAGTATTGCATTTAAATATTTGTTTAGGAAAAAAGCGGACGTGATCTGTATTCAAGAAACTCACTGGCAGACTGGTTAAATCCCAAGCTATGGTAATATTATTATTCTAATGGTGATGCCACTTATGCAAAAAGTAAAACAAAGAGTATCCATAATCTTTAACAAAAGTTTACTATTAAAAGAAGAGATTTTTATAAAAGATAAGGAAGGTCAGTATATCTTATGGACAGGCCTAATTAATTCTCCAAAGTATACAATCTTAAATATCTATGCTCCTAATAAGGGACAAATCACATTTATTAGTCATACTTTGAAAATAATGAATTTTTTTTTAATGGGATTTATAGTTCTGTGGTGACTCAAATATGGATAGGAAATCCATAGGGGAGGTAAAAGTAGAGTCACGTTTGGCGCAAAACTCTAAAAGATTTTATAAACTACTGCTAAAATAGACTTTACGATACATGGAGAACTTTGCACCCATTAGAGATTTTTTTTTTTTTATTTTTTTTTTTCATGGACATAAAATGTATATTAGATTGGCCTATATCTTTGTTAGGGGCTGTATCTCTAAAATTAAGCATGCTGAAATAGGTTCGATTTTATATGGTCTGTCCATGGCCTTGTGGGAACGACATTGGGCAGTGGTGCCCAGATAAGAAGTAATAGATCATGGAGAATGGATATAGAATTTGAAGGATCCAGAAATCTTAGAAAAGTTAAAAGAAGCGAGTTCATTCGTCATCAAACGATGGCTTGATAAATTTAAAAGTAAGTTGTTTTTTTTTCATAAAGCAGACATAAGAGGGTTAATGATAAAATGGCAGGCATATAGAAAGAAACAGAGGTAAATCTTTAAGAGAGCTACACATAGAGTTTACTCTGTTAAATAGAGAGAACAAAAAATTCCCAAAAGAGATAACGATAACTTAAATTCGAGAGAGACAATTACAAATAAAGAGAATACAGCAGTATTAAGTCCACATGGGCCTTACAACAAAGGTTATTTTACGGAGGTAATAGGGCAGATAAATTGATGGCAAACAAGTTATTATAAAATAGCATATCTATTCTATTTTTCGTTTTAGAGTGCTTTTCTATCCAAAGTGATATAGCTACATGTTTTGAGAATTAAGAGCTCTATAATTTTAACTCAAAAAAGACAGAAATTAAAAAAAAAAAAAAAAAATGAAAATCGTGTAATTTCTGGATAAAATCAATCTTCCAAAAATCTTACAAGCAGAGATGGCAACCTTAAACAAAGATAACAGAACAAGAAGTTAGATGGGCAGTCTCAAAATTTAAACTGGGCTCAGCACCAGGGCCTGATGGTTTAATTAATCAATATTATTTACAATGTCAAGAGGAGATCTCTAAATATTTGTGTGAAACATTAAATTAAATCAAGAAAGCAGGCCGGACTCACTCAGAGTTGTTAGAAGCACAAATAATGATACCAAAAACTAATAAACAAATTCCAGAATCTAGTGCTTTTTAGACCGATCTCTGCTTAATGTGGATGCAAAGATCTATACAAAGATCTTAGCGGAAAGATTAAATCGTAGTATCCACAAGCTGATTGCTCTGGATCAAACTGGTTTTATTTAGGGGAGATTGGGTCCTGACAATATTAGGAAACTTCTAAATATATTTTCAGTTGTAAAACCTAAAAAAGAAGCCATTTTTGTGGATTGGGACTTTATGAACCTCACCCTGTCAAAGTATGGTTTAGGTGAGTTTGCCTCTAAGGCAATAGCTGCTTTGTATGTTTCTCCATCAGCAAGGGTGACTGGCCAAAATTTTTGTTCACGAAGATTTCTTATTTCAAATGGCACCAGGCAAGGATGCCAGTTATCCTCATTGGTGTTTGCTTTACTTATTGAACCACTGACAATTGCGATAAGGGAGTCCGAGAAAATAAGAGGGATTGAGATAAATCAGAAACATGTTATTGTTTTACATGCGGACGATTTAGTAATTACAATGGAAAAGCCAGAAAATTCATTAAAAGCCCTTCAAGAAATTATTGCAGAGTATAGCGAAATTTCTAATATTAAATATGAAGAAATCTGAAGCTATGACTTTTAATATAGGGAAGATTAGAAAAGACTTAATGGCAGAAACCTATCCATTCAAATGGCAACAATCAATAACCCATCTAGGAATAACTTTGTTTTCTAAGATGAATAAAACAATTAAAGTTAACTATCAAACAGTTTATGCCAAGTGGAAAAATCTAAATATTTCTTGGTTAGGAAGAATTTCAGCTATCAAGATGACAATGACCTAAGATCACTTATATTATGTGGTGTATCCCAGTGCAATGTCCCATGCATATGATTAATCAGATACAGAGTGATAGATGTATCTATTCACCAGAATAAAAAGATGCGGATTAAAAGACCAGTTATGGTTAAGAAATTCTGCAGAGGAGGAACGGCTTATCCCGTTCACATTAAGAAATATCAAGAAGCTACCTTACTAGATCATATGTTGTTATGGGTGGAGGAGGAAAAAGTAACAACTGGGCAGATAGAAAAAGCTTTTCTTAAAGATGAGAATTTAAATTCAATTATCTCAAGTATTACCTAGCAGTAAAGTGAATAATAAAAATTCGGTAATATGGAAAAGTGCAATGAGTTGGTCTAAATTGAATAGTAAATATACTCTTATTCTGTTTCCGAGTTTGATTACTCAAATTTCATGGCTGCAGAAGTGTTCCTTTCCCTTTTGCTTGAGTTATTGGAAGGATGTAAATATCTGAGTGACCTATGTCAATAATTTTGTACAATTTGATTATTTACAGAGCAATTTTAAAATTGCATCTAGGTTTTGGTTGGATTATAATAGTCTGAGAACTAGAATATTATCCTCTAGTTTTCATTTGAAAGGGACTAGACAAATGACCGCTTGCAAAAAGTTAATGTTCAACAAATCTCATCTGGTATCAAAATGCTTTAGTATAATAAGAGATGGGGATCAGGATTCTGAACCTTTAAATATCAGACTATGGGAAGAACAGTTGTATCAATCTTGGCCAATGGAAACTTGGTTGGGAGCAGTGTCAATAACGGATAACTTGATTAAATTTGTGACATATAGGGAGACCTATCTTAAAATATGGAATAGATGGTATTTAACCCCGATCAAGCTATGGAAAAAAGACTATGCATAGATATTGCTGGAGAGGCTGTAATCAAATTGGCTCAGCTTTACAAATGTGGTGGTCTTGTTCCCTTCAAATGTATTGGAAGGAGGTTGGGGCTTGGATATCTCCAATAGTAGGGGGAAAGGTTAAAATGGGCCCAGAATTAGCCCTGTTTTATTTCCTCCCTAATGTTACAAAGGAAGTAAAAAGTTTTACTCCATTCCCTAATGATAGCTAAATGGCTGATAGCATTAAATTGGAAGGGAGAAAAAATGCTGATATGGTCAGACATAGGAGCTATCATGCAGAGAAACAGAGCATTAGAATGGAATGATGGATCTGTAGGGGCATTTAAGGTCCCAAAGTAGATGGGTGGTATGGGATAATTACTGCTTAAACCCTGGTCAATGCGTTTCATAGACTGTAATCTCCTCAGCCCCCTCCCTTGACTCTCGGAACAGCGAATGGTGCGCGTGTTAGAAAATTGAGAATTGACGTTTTAGGCGTATTTTCATTATTTACAGGTAGATAGTCTGGGTCTTTTTTCTGGTAGGCAGACTAAATTAAAGGTATTGAGTATCTTTCAAAACCTTGACATTTGTGAATAGAAGTTAGAAAACAGTAGAACTCAAACTCAAATATAAAGTCAATACTTAAAGTTGAAATTTTATATTTATGTATCTGTGTTTTGTCTTTTTTTTTTTTGCAAGAGTGGACAAAAGAGAAAAAGGAAGACTCAATTAAATGGAATCTTAATGATCGAGATTGTACTGTATATAAAAAATTTTTTATGTAATTGTACGCTGTAAAAATGATAAAACAAAGTATAAATGATTGTATGTATTTATGTAAAAAATCAAATTTTTTACAAACGCAAAAAAGTTAAGACTTTTTCTCCCATTTCCTTTAAAATAACATTTTGAGCTGTCTTTTAAGAATGTAATGTGGTTTACTGATAGTTACTGATTTTGTGATGTTATCTTATAGCACAGATGAAGCAGATACACATTGAACCTGCTGCCTCCCGTATGGAGGAGGCTTTTGGCTGTGCTGTGGAAAACCGCTTCAACCGCCTTCTGGATGATGAAACCGACCCACTAGAGTTCCTTCAGAAAGCAGCAGAGGAGAAGAGTCGCCGCAAAAAGAAACAAACTGTTGCAAAAAATGATGGCAAGAAGGAATCTCAGAGAGACAGGAAGGCTCAATTTGCTGGAACAAACACAGAGGTCCAGAATAAACAAACAGGTTTGCACAATGATATGCAATTACAGTGCCTATATGGAATTTACCTTCTGTATTTATAATCTCACTGAAGAGGTTTTGTCTGGGCATTAATGTACAAATTTAGTAGGCTAGAAGCAGTCAGCTGATGCCCTCTGCCAATTACAGCCACCATTGTGGCTATATATTAATACAGCTAGAAGGAAGTGTGCAATCTTTGCCTTTGCCATACCACCATTTGGGGTGGACTGAGGGTGGTCAAGGATCTGTGCTTGCCTGTCTGTAGGTAATGGCATTGCTATTCCTATCCAATATATTAATACACTAGCCTAGATTGTAGCTAATCGCATCATTAACAAGAAAAAGTACTCTGGAAGTTTTTTGTTTTTTTTAGTTTATACATTTTATGGTTACATTGCAAGGTATGTAATATACAGTGGTTGAAACATAATTAAGAACATTGCACAATAAAATACTTGATACAATTGAACAAGGTTTGTACATGACTATTGGTTATCTATTACATGAAAACAAAGTTATCAGTTATGGCTTCATATTAGTACTTTTGTCACGTTCTTTGACATTTCCCATCGTTATGTTACCGTGGGAAATAACCATTGTAAGACACTTCATGTACCTAGTGGTTCTTCGTTCAATTTCAATTGTACACTTTACTCATCTATATGTCAGCCTGGTCAGGATGGGTTATCATAATCTATTTGGTGGCTTTCTGTTTGTGGCTCCTACCGGGTGTACTACATGACTCCAATGTGTAACCTGTGTTTAACGATGCTCAAGCGTTTAGGAGATAATCAAAGTTGCATAGCAGTTTTATCCAGTCTACAAAACATTAGAATTGTGGACAAGTTAGTAAAATATTGATGAAGTGTTTGTCTTAAACGACCACTATAGTGCCAGGAAAACATACTTTTTCCTGGCACTATAGTGCCCTGAGGGTGCCCTCACCCTCATGGTCCCCCTCCCGCCAGGCTCTGGGGAGAGGAAAGGGGTTAAAACATACCCTTCTCCAGCGCCAGGCGGGGAGTTCTCCGTCTCCAATCCTCCTCCTCCCTTTCGGCTGAATGCGCACGCGCGGCAAGAGCTGCGCGCCTTCAGCCGGTCTCATAGGAAAGTATTTACAATGCTTTCCTATGGACGCTTACGTGTTCTCACTGATTTTTTTTTTTTTTTTTTTCTCAGTGAGAATCACGCAAGCGCCTCTAGCGGCTGTCAATGAGACAGCCACTAGAGGATTTGAGGGCTGGATTAACCCATTAATAAACATAGCAGTTTCTCTGAAACTTTTTGTTTATAAAAAAAAATGGGTTAACCCTAGCTGGACCTGGCACCCAGACCACTTCATTAAGCTAGAGTGGTCCTTTAAGGTTTGGGATTAACTATTTCATATGTTGAGTGTGTGGGATCCATTGAGCAGTGAGCTTGTGGAGTGTATGTAGTGGGTCAGTTGCGTGTACCTAAATTCCTGCATTGTCTTGGGGTGTTCTGTCCCAGTGGGTGTCAAATGGTTCAACTGAACAGTGTGTAGTGTTAGGGTGCGTTCTGGGGTACCTGTATGAAGTCTGAGTTGGTCGGCAGCCCTGGCTGGAACATTGGGTTTCTGGTCAGTGGATATAGGGGAGATGGGTATGGGGATATGAGGACATGTCTTGTAAGCTTCCAGATGCGGAGCGTGGGGGCTATAATAGGATGAGACTGAGGGGATAGGAACGTGTGTTCGGTTTTATGCCAGGGGATCATGTGGATTGGGGTTTGGAAGGAGTTTTCCAATTCTACCTATTGTCTTTGGTTGTGCGTTTGCCCATTCAAATATCCTAGTGAGCATGATCACTTCATGGTAAAGGCCTATGTGTGACATTCCCAGTCCGCCTTGGCCTTTGAGTTTCGTGAGTGTATTAAAAGCTATCCTAGTGTACTTGCTTATGTAAATTTGGTGAATGTGTTTTGAGTTTGGCAAAGAATTATTTGGGGATCTGTATTGGAAGTGTCTGAGGTACACAAATTGGTGCTTGTGCCACTTGGCCAAGTCCGTATCTATCTTGTGGAGTGGGACGAAATGTATGGTATAAGTGTCAGCTGGTTGCGTGGTAGGTGTATTCCCAAGTACATGATGTCTTTCGTTGCCCACGTGAAGGGATATTTCCCCTTCATTATGGTCTGTGATCGTTGGTTTATTGCTAGGGGTAGAATCTCACTTTTGGTAAAATTGACATGGAAGTTTGAAACATGTGGCTAATTCCTCTAAAAGGGGGGTCATGGATGTGATAGATGTTAGCATAAAAAGCAGATCAGCAAATGCTGATATATTGTATTCCTCGTTTCTTATCTGGAAACCTGCAATGTCCCTGTTGTCCTGTATTCCTTGAAGGAAGGGTTCCATCGTTAGTATGAATAGGAGAGGGGATAGGGGACACCCCTGTCTCGTGCCATTCTGAATTTTCACGGAGTCTGGCAGTTGTCCATTAATCTTAAGTTTAGCTGTGGGGGTGGAGTAAATGGCATTAAGCCAGTTGGGCCCAAAGACCATTGCTTGTAACGTAGTTCTAGGGTTTATAACGTATCACTGGGGATTTTTGTATGCACCCTTGTGGATAGGAAGTGTGCAATGTCTGTCACCTAAGGGGGTGAACGCCTCAGGTTGTATAGCTCAGAGTAGCATGTATGGAAAGCCTCCTTTATGTCTGGTAGTGTGTGGGATAGGCCTTAGTCTGGGTGTTTTTCTTTGGCTATAAATGTTTGTCTGCTTTGCTTTAAGGATGAGGCCAAAACACATCCGCATTTTCCCCGAGTAGAAGTAGGAGTGTTTTTTTTTTTTTGTACGGAGCAGTTTGCGCTTTACCTGTGTGTTCAAGAGCTGTTGTGGCTCCATGTGCTTTGTGAGCAGCACCTTGTAAGTTAGAAAGGAGTCCCATTGGTGATGAGCTGCCTCCAAAGCCCGTATATACTCTGTAAGGGATTTCATTTTACTTTCCTTGAATTTTTTTTTTTTGTTTGGATGCGATAGCTATTATTATTCCCCTAAGTACACATTTGTGCGCTTCCAAGGTTATCAGAGAAGTAGAGGGGAAGGAGTTTTCCTCAAGTAGTAGTGGAGTGAGCTCTGGAGTTGTTTGGTTACTGTCTGGTCATTTAGTAACAGGTCATTCAGTTTCCATTGGGATGATTTTAAGGGTATGGAGGGGATTTGAACGGCAAGAGACAGGGACGTAAGGTCTGAACATGTGATGGGGAAATAGGAGCATGTTACCAGGTGTGTAAACCTGTGGCAGAACATATCTAACATGAGTGTACAAGTCGCTGTGGAGTAGTACGAGTAGTCTTTCATAGTGGGATGGCATATCCTCCAGCACACACAGCTGTGATTGATCTAGGAGGTGGGAGAAAGGTCTGTGCATTGGGTTTTGCCTAGTGGGTGTTACAGATGTGGTGTCTAGAGCAGTCCAGTGATAGGTTAGTTGCCCCCCCCCCCCAATTATTAGTATAACCTCTGCAAATGTCTGTCCACTCTAAACACTTTTTAAGGGTTTTGCATTGGCCTGTGTTGGGTAGGTAGAGGTTTACAAAAGTGACAAGTGTGTCCTATGGTTCCTTTTACAAACCGCCTCCCAGAGTCGTCCTTTTTGGTCTATGAATGTAAAAGGCACTTGGGCTGAAATTAGTATGGCCACTCCATGGGTTTTCAGTCACCGAAATGGCCAAATTAGACTGTGGGGTACCTACTATTCCTCAAGTTTGGATGTAGGCGTAGATGTAGGAGTTCCTTCAGGAAACCCACGTCGGCTTGCATTCTGTGTAGCTCTGCGAGGGTCAGGGAGCGTTTTTCAGGGGAATTTAATCCCTTCATATTGAGTAAGTATACGTAGGGTAGCCATTTTTCAACTATTACAATCTAGCAGCTGGGCCCCAGTGCAGCGCAGAACCACAGACCTTTTATGAATGCAAATTCAGGTACAAAACAATTGTTTACAAACAACAATCCATGCGTAATTAAACTGTGTAGAGTTGAGCACCTGGGTCAGGTGCATGAAAAACCTTCGGTAGTTGTCTCAGGTGAAGTCAATCAGTCACCCTGAGAACCTATAGGCTACCGTAGTATAGGTCAGTATGACCGAAGTGCAGTAGAGAAGTGGTAAAGGTATGCATTCGCATACGCCTATATATTCAAGTGCACTTGAATGTGTGAAGTGGGTGGGTGGGGGTGACCAGAAGCTGTCAATCACAGGTGGAGAAGGGGGGTACAGTTGTTCACTTTCCTTTCTGGTGTGAATCTCGCTTGGCATGTAAAGTATAGCTTTGTGGCCGAGTTGTTATATGGGGCCCCAGACCCAAGATAACCGGACCTTACATTCTAGTCATCAAGTGCTTACATGGTGTCAATTTGGGATATTGTAACGGTGTCTGCTCCCCCAAGGTTGAGTTACATGAGTAGAGACTGCAATTGTCACCTTTTGGCCTTTGCGGGGGTGTCATATAGTACGGGAGGGGGGTATGTGGAATCACTGGCTACTCCTATATGGACTGGTTTTCTCTTCCTCTTTCTGTTGTCCTGTAGCTTATAGCTTAGCTGTGGGCAAAGGCTCAAGCGGCATAACCCGTGCCTATTGTGACTTTCTAACGTAAACTTATTGACCCCTCGGTATATACTGTATTGTTAAACAGTGTTTTGTGTAAGGTTTGGAATCTCTTTGGTGTTCCAAATGCCCTCTAGACATGGGTAATTTCTAATCAGAAGTTGTAATTGGGGACATATAACATAACCGGATTATTTCATATTACCCACCCTTGCGAGGGTCTTCTGTAGCATCAAGTGTCTCTTGTTGCGCTTAGTTATAGAAAGTCTCGGTAATGGAAGAGGCAGTGTCCGCTAGTATCCCAGTGATAGCCCTTGTTTTATCCAAGAATGCGCTGTATTAGCCCTGCTGTGGCTCAGTCAATATGTGCTTGACTTTCGTGGGCCGTTCACAAAACTTTAGATATTATATACGTGTCCCTTGTGGTCTGTCCGCATAAAGATCTGTTAGTGGGTAAAAGTGGTAGTATCCTTGTGGTGCGGTCTGCAAGTAGGCAGGGAGGTCTAGTGGTTCACTGTCGCCTTGTCAATGACTGCTTTGCCTCTGAAGTGCCTTCCATGGCATCCGTATGTCTTTTCCTCGTCTCCTGTTGCCAGTGTGGACGTTGGGGTAATTGAGGTGGGCCATACCAGTCGCTAATGTGCCATGGTGAGGTCCAGAGCCCTTTGGAATACTGGAACGTCTTGTATGGTATTTATGCTGTGCAGGTTTCCTTTAAATGTGGTGCTTAGTGCGAACTGGAATCCCCACCTGTATCTGACGTTTCTTACCCTCAGTTGGTCTGATGGGTTTTAAAGATCGCCTGGCTTGCAGCGTGAGCCGTGAGAGGTCTGGATATGTTGATTGGGTCACTATGAAACCGCAATGGTTGATTTGAATTCCGTAGAGCTGCCAGAATATCCTCTTTGCACCTGTAATAGTGAAGCCTGCAGATTAAATCTCTGGATCTGTCAGTTGAGAGGCTTCTGTGTCTCAAGGCTCTGTGGGCCCTGTCCATTAGTATAGGTGAATCAAGTTCTCTGTCCAAAATTAAAGTGCTCTGGGAGCACTTTGATCAAGAGGACATACCCACTTTCAGGGAGTCCCCTTATCCTGAGGTTCTTCGTTCTCTTGCTATTATCTAAATCATCCGTTGAGCATTGCATAGCTGCTAGCTGGGATGTGTGGTCCTTAACTGTCTCCTGGAGGGATTGCATCTGTGTATTACATCCCTGTCATCATCCAGTGACCCTATTCTGACTCCCATGTGGTGGAAGTTGGTGCCAATGGCGTCTAGCTTGCCCTGGAAAGACTTCTCTAATTTACCCGGCTTATTGCGAAGGAGATCTCTCACCTCCATGTCAGCAGGCATGCTGGATGTTTACAATTCTCCCGACTTGATGACGGTGAGGCGAGTCCGGCGCCATGTTTGGGACTACCAGGCCAGGTTGCTGCTCTGTGGTGTCACGGAAATATTTTGTCAGGGCTCCAGATTTACCTGCCGGTTGTCTTGCCAGAGGTGTGAGGAGTAGATGCAGACAGTTTAGGGTGTCCCATAGGGAGTTTTTTTTTTGTTTGTTTTTTTTGCCTGATACACACGAATTCAAAACTCTAAGAGGAGCTCGTTTAGCTTTCGGCCATTCTGTTCCGTGGTTGGCTCCGTCCCCAGTACTCTGGAAGTTGCTGATTGTTTATGAAAATCCTACTGTAATGTCTTGCATTATAGTTTTTTGTGTGTGTGTGTGTGTGTGTGTAAATTTGCCAAGACAACAGCAGTAACACATTATAATCTGAACCCTCAAACCAGAGGGGTAACTAGAATCCACCAGACCCCATAGGAGGGGGCTTTTGGGCCCCCTCCTATGTATCGTGTTCCCCTGTCCCCACTTTCCTGGCGTCTGGTGCCCCCCGTCCCCACTTTCCTGGCGTCTGGTGCCCCCCCGTCCCCACTTTCCTGGCGTCTGGTGCCCCCCCGTCCCCACTTCTGGTGCCCCCCCGTCCCCACTTTCCTGGCGTCTGGTGCCCCCCCGTCCCCACTTTCCTGGCGTCTGGTGCTTTGATCATCCCCAGTTTCTACCTTTGCTATATATTTTTATTTACATAATTGCAGCTTATTGCAAATTTGTTACAATACTCTTCTTCCTGTACTTTTATAAGAGAGTAACTCTTTATGTATCTAATTATTCTGATAGCAAGCGTATTTTTTTGGATATGGCTGTAAAATTACAACCAAGTACATTCTAAATGGATAGCACTTGAGAGCAATTGGTTCTCCCTTTTAATTACACTTATCAGTGTTTCTCACTATTCACTTGTCTCTTTTTTTTTTTTTGCAAAAGAATATTTTCACTGTTTCATAAACTGCAGTTTTGGACTTCCGCAGTGGACCAAAATTTTGAACTCCTATCCAACACTTTTTTTTTTTTTTTTAATGAATTGAACTTGACGGTGAAATTGTTTACAATTTACACTTCTGTTAATCCATATTTTTCATTCTTGAATAAAAAAACTCTTCAAAATCCATTCATAAGACAAACAAGAACATTTTCTGATATAAATTTTTAGTCTGATCAATGTAACTTGTGACGGTCAACGAACACAAAATGCTTTTGTGCATACAACATACCTACCGCACCCTGGAATCACTAAATGAGAAAGTCAGCAGGGAGGGATAAAACCAGTTAAACAAACTCAGAAAGGTGGGACAATACTCGCCTATGTGAAGACACGGAGGCTCATATTGCAAGTTTAAAGCTGACCAACAACCTGCGAAAATGTGAGGGACCGGCCGAAAATAAAATTTACGCGACCAGTCAGCCATCCCCATCAATTCTTCCAGACGTGCGCCTGAAGCCACCATAGACATGGCTGACTCACCACGAGAAGAATGGGCACCAAAAACAGACGTATCCACTTTGTCCAGCAAGCCAAGGTAATACTGGAGAAAACTGTTTGCGAATAGAGATAAATAGTTGCAGAGATGATACAGAACGATGCACACTGGTCCAAAACTCATACTCACGCAAACAAGAAACAGGACACCAAGCCGGATACGAGACAGACTGAATAGCAGTCTTAGTATGTCTGGAGATGTTAAAGGTCACCCCATCCAGAGTGAAGGACCGTGCATAGTAAGCCAGGGCACGGACATCCGAAACCAGCAACCGTCAAAACCTTCATGAGCCGAAGAAATGGCCAACCTGTACAAATCGTGCAATACGATGTAAGGAATTGAAGGATTGCAGTCACAGGTGCTGAAAGGTTCCTAGCCAGGCACCATCCAGCCAAAGCTCGCCAATCGATTCCACATGACCATCTAGTGCCAGGCGAACACCCCCACATCCAATCTCCAGTCGCTGCTGTCCAAAAGATGGTGTGAATTTTGCGGAGTCCCAGGAGGTACTCCGCTTGGACCACCTAATCCCTGGCCAAGCAATGCTTCCAAAAGTTGTCTCGTCGTTGCTGGAGGGCATGGTAGTGAAGAGGAGCCGGGAACACTGCTTGGATTGAGGATGCCAGCAGGCCTATGATCTGTGCCAGATAGCATAGGATTATCTAAGGGCCTAACTTCTTGTGGATGGTCCAAATCCTGGACATTGGAAGGCTCCGTGACTCCGCTCTGGAGTCTACGGTGAAGCCAAGGAACTCCATGCATCTCCCAGTTGAGGAAACCCAGACGAGAGAGGTCTATCGTCCATTGCAGGTGCCGTAGGAGGATGGAGTGATCCTGTGCAATGATCAGGATGTCGTCTAGACAATCAGACACACGCCCAAACTGAGTAACCAAGCCATGGCCGGGCGCCATAGGTTTGTGAAGCACCAAGGTGCGAAGAGAGCCAAAAAGGAAGACCTGTAAAGGGCCAAGTGTCGCCCTTCCAAAGGAAATGCAATAAGTCTTTGGACGTCTCTGCCACAGAGACCGTCAAGTACGCGTCCTTCGCATCCAGTTTAGCAATCTCATCGTTACGAAGGAGTAAGTCCCGCAGAAGGTGGATGCCCTCCATCTTGAAGTGGCACTAGCGCACAAAGGCATTGAGGGGACCGATTGATCATGGGGCGCATGTGCCCGCTTTTCTCGAAGAGTCGACAATTCTGTCTATCCACTCATGTAGGGAGAATGAGATCGGGCGAGGTGGAGGGATGTGGCAAGGAGAACAGACCAACTCTATGTGGAAACCCTGAACAGTGGCCAGAACCCAAGCTTCGGAGGTTATGGCTGACCAAGCTGGGAAGAAAAGGAGTCTGCCCCTACACAAACATGAGGCAGATGTAAGCTTACCTTAAAGGCGTCTGGAAACGGCGTTTCCTCTGGACTTCATGGTCCTCCACGTGAAGGGAAGAGGGTGGATCGGCCTCTTGCCACCTGATAGTGGTGTTGCTGGATATAGGAGCTTCATCCCAAGCCACGGGAGTTGTAGTAGTTACGGCCAGACAGACGACCCCTGAATCTGCTGGACCTGGCAGAGACCCGCCCCTGAAATACCCTCTTCATGGAGGATTGAGCTTTATCAAGGGCAGTAAAAGCTCCAAGAAAACGCCCCAGGTCTTTTTATAAAGAAGTTCCCAAACAAGAGGCCTTGGGCATCCTTGCACACCTTGCTGAGGGGCCAGTTTTGGCTTTTTTTTTTTGAGTGGCTTTACACCGTTCTGTAGACAGGGAGGTAGTAACAGTGCCCGCAATACAGATGGCCCTCTGCACCCAACCACAGAGCTATTCTGGGTCAACCTGTCTGTCATCAGCTCTGGCATCTTCTGCTAGGTCAAAGAGCTTCGCCAAAGGAACCAAACAGTCCAAATGTTTATCTTGGCACAACTTTAGTGCTGAATTCAAACTTACAAGGGTTTCATCCCAATTTGGTCATTTAAAGGTCAATAACCGGGGTCTCAGACTTTATTGGGCACCAAAGGCCATGGGCATTCAGCCCTAAGCTTACTCTGGGCTGCCTTGCTGAGCCGTACCCAGTTCTCCAGGTAACATGCAACATGGTCCACTGGGAGCAAGTTAGCCGACCGAGTGATATCATTCGGGTCGAACATAGGTTTACCAGACGGATCCTGGAGAGTGGAGCCTGCTGTAACGGGGGAGTGAATTCGAGAACCACTCTTTGCCACCTCTGACTGAGGTCAAAAGGTCAATGCCCTGCCCAAAGGATTAATATTTCTTGGAATATTTCAAGAGTGGTTTATGTATGAGTTTTTAGATTGTATTTTATTTATTTAGGTTGTTTGGAAATAAACGGTTACGTGAAAAATTTACTTGATTCATTTTCGGTTTCCTTGTCTGAGTATGTGTGTATTTAAAGCTACAGGATTGGTAATTTTTTGCATGCCTATCTAGCGCTTTCTAGTGTAGCTTTGTGATATCTACTTTTCCACTTTTTCTTTTTAAATAAAAATGTGCAGCATACTTATTGAATCGATACCTTCTCACTATGAGATCTCCCTGTTTTGCACATATTGGAGTGATCTTCTTGCTCTTTTGACATCTCATTTTTAGAAGTACATTTGTCCTGTTATATTATATCAATAGATATTTGTGTAGTAATTTGTGAAACTGCACGACAAAAAGTGCATGTATATATGCTTTTTGAATATTCAGGGTTTTTGTGGATTTTTGTTTAATTTTTTAATTAGGTTTTATTCCATTGCCAATCCTCCCATGACGAAGTCATTCCGGATTATCTGTGGTTCAAACCAGTATTTCCCATAGAAGCATTGTGGATATTCTGCACACTGCTGTGCCTTGCCAGTTTAGATTTTTCTAGAAGAAGCCATGTTGGGTGTAATGTTATATGCAATGACATTGACCATTAAGGGCTTTGAAACTTTGTTCTCTTAAGGAGCAAGTTCCTCTAGTGGCTGTCCCTTACACTGACATTTGTCTGAATAAAGGGAGTACAAAAATAGTGTACGAACATGTATTATAAACCACTACCTTACCATTGTGCATTTGGTAAATTGTAGAATTAATTTTTCATTTAAATTTTTCCTTGTCTAGGCCAGAAACAACCCCCCAAACCACAGCAAAGCGGAAATCCTGCTGTGAAAACTTACAAACCAAAAACTGAGCAAAAGCCTTTTGAAGATATGTATCATTGTGTTGTAGAGAACCCAACAGAGCATGACATAGAATAGTAAGTAAGCAGATGTTGTATAAATGTTAAGTTCCCTGGCAGGTTTTGAAAGAAGCTATTAAGGTTTGTACTAGCACCTCACTGCTGGCTCTGGTGTTATGCCTCTTCTGCTTTCTCAAATCACATATCAAGGACAACTTCACTAGACTGCAGAATTGTCTTCGTACTTGTAGTTCAATCACAGTACCTATAGCCATGTTTTGTGTTGTGATCTTTTGTCATAATGCCTATACATTGTTGTGGGAAGGCCAAAATGTTTTATTAAAAAAATTTTTAAAAATTGAAATCTCCAAACAATCCTTAATGTCTGTACACTCCTTATTAGTACATCACACTGCACGCCAATCTTCTTAAAAAAGCTGCATTTGCAAAAAAGGAAAAATAAAACCTTGAAATGCAAGCAATTGCCTAGAACTGTTCTCATATGCACTAATCCAATATTGTGTAGGATGTGAAGGTTGATTGCAACCTGCTCTCTGATCCTAACCGGTCAGAATATGTAGGGATGCACCAAAATTAAAATTCTTGGCTGAAACCAAAAATTCATGATTCCGTTGGCCGAAAACCAAAACAGAATTATTTTTTGTCTTTTCAAATGATTTTAAAATATCTTTTTATAATTTTATTGATTCAATAACTGCACATATGGAAATTTAAAAGTTTACACTTGTAATTGGGGAATGTGGCAAACCCATACCAGGAGGAAGTCCCCAACTGTCCCCATGCCCACCTCCCCACAAACCAAACCTATATCTAGCCTAAGGCCCATAGTCTGTTATTAGGAGGCTGAAATCAGAAGTCAAAGTACTGAAAAACCTTTTCCCTGATTTACAACAGTGTTATGGTAGTGTTGCTTTAGGGAAGACTCTAGGCACCATAACCAGTACAGCACGCCGCAGTGGTAATGAAGCAAAGAGTCCCAGGGCATCAACCGCAGGTAACCTGTCAAAGAATTTAGTAATGGACAGTGCCATTTGAACACATCCCTGTAGTGGTTAAGGTGTCTGCTTTCCCTTTAATAAAATTTAGTGCACCAAATATATTCACTACTTTGGCTATCTCTTGGAGATCATTCACTAAATGGCAACCTGAATTAAACTGAAAACCAGATTTGCTAAATTTAGGCTAAATTAGCCAAGATGTGACTGTTCAAATTAAATATTACAATTTGGTTTTAAATACACTGAGTAAGCTCCTTGTAAAATTGCAGATGAAGAAAAATAGACCCGAAGTGTAAAGGGCCATGATTTAAGGGTCCGAACCTTCCATTGCCATGGAAACTGGAAGTCCGCCACCTATTAGTCATTTATAATGTCAAACTAGCCTGGGGAGAGAAACTTAAGTACAGTAGTTTCTTCCTGTCATGAATCACCGGCAGAATAGGCCAGTTTTCAGCCAACCATTTTGGCAGCCAAAATTTCGGTGCATCCCTAATATGCAGTAAATCCCACCAGGAAAAAAAAGTCCAAAGTATAACAAACTATGAAACATTATAAAAGGAATTCCCTTCAGCCGTGCTGAATGCTTGGACCAGCGGTTTCTCAGCACGTGTCATGCTAGGCAGAAAACCCGTTCAGGGCATTCCTTCTTACAGATGCCGTTTTATCATTTATTTCTTTTTTTTTAATAGACTCAGTTATACGTTCTTTTTGGAGGGGAAGAGGGGGATTTACTACATATTATGACAGGCTAGGATTACATTTTTCTAAGAAGATTGGTGTGCAGAGGAATGTACTACTAAGGTTTGTGTGTGGACATTTGGGATCGTTTGGGGATGAGTTTGACTAAGTCAAGCACCAGGGATGTGTGTTAAATTTAATCAGCATGATATGCATCGAATAACTAGCCGAGATTCCGTGATATCGTAGCTGCGGCAATCTGTTTGTTGGCAAAATGGGCGGTATCCGATTCAATCGTTTCTCTTGCAGCATAGTAACAGCTATACATGTCTTGGTTATTTTAATAGCAGGAACCAGGTAAGAGACAAACTATTGTAAATCAAGCTGGTTATGAAGCTTAAAGGAACACTATAGTCACCTAAATTACTTTAGCTTAATGAATAAAGCAGTTTTAGTGTATAGATCATTCCCCTGCAATTTCACTGCTCAATTCACTGTCATTTAGGAGTTAAATCACTTTGTTTCTGTTTATGCAGCCCTAGCCACACCTCCCCTGGCTATAATTGACAGAGCCTGCATGAAAAAACTGATTTCACTATCAAACAGATGTAATTTACCTTAAATAATTGTATCTCAATCTCTAAATTGAACTTTAATCACATACAGGAGGCTCTTGCAGGGTCTAGCAAGCTATTAACATAGCAGGGGATAAGAAAATCTTAATTAAACAGAACTTGCAATAAAGAAAGCCTAAATAGGTCTCTCTTTACAGGAAGTGTTTATGGAACGCTGTGCAAGTCACATGCAGAGAGGTGTGACTAGAGTTCATAAACAAAGGGATTTAACTCCTAAATGGCAGAGAATTGAGCAGTGAGGCTGCAGGGGGATGTTCTATACACCAAAACTGCTTCATTAAGCTAAAGTTGTTCAGGTGACTAGTGTCCCTATAAAGGGTCACTCCAGACCTATAAGAAATGGTAGCTTGATGAAAAGCATTGTTTAAAGTTTGTTCTCTTGCCCAGAGCACCTGACTTCACATTAGGCTGTATTGGGAAGTTGGTGTTTGGTCAGCCAGTCTGTGTGGGTTAGGAGAGGACTTGCAAAGGCAGCAGACAAGAGAAATTCAGGCTTTACAAGTGGATTTTGATATATCCCCAATGAAAAAAATACATAACTAAATGCATGCAAGTCTTCATTTGGGGTAGATCTACTAAACAGTGATTTTTGTATTTGGGCGGTGGAGTGTCCCTTTAAATATTCCGCAATTAATTTGCTGTCACAATACATGCAAAAACAAACCTAGCCCCTTTCTTTTCCATAACTCAAGGATGTTCATACAAATTTTATGTACGGATGGTTTGGTTTGTTTTTGTTTTTTTTTTTCTTTGTTTTTTTTTTTTTTTTTGCAGACGCATGGAGACTGTAGACAAAGAAAAACTTGTGAAAAACTGGCTTTCTAACAGGGGAGGAACAAGAGGAAAAGGCAGAGGTGGCTTCTCAAGAAACACAGAACAGGATAATCAAAGAGGGAAAAGAGAATTTGAAAGGCACAGTGGTAGTGGCCGCGGGTCTGTATATCAAACTACTCTGTTCAGTATTTATGTGAATCTTTTCTTTGCAAATAAGTTATTTTCTATTAATGCTGGAAGCCACTCACCAAGAACTTTGTATGTGTGTGAGCATTAGATGGTCATAAAGCAGTTTTGTTTGTGGTTTTTTTTTTGTATTGCCTAGTTTGCTATTGCAATGTGTTGTCGCTTCCATACTTGATTTTCACCAGTTTATCTTAATCTTCCAACCTGTATCTATCACTAGGGCATGACAATCGCTTAAAGGTGCAAATTACTTTGTACATTATGTAAAAAAGCCTTGAAAATAAACTGTAGACTTAATACCAGATGTCTTGTCTGCAGAGGTTTAAGAGCTGAAGACAAACGAGGTGGCAGTGGAAGTCATAACTGGGGTTCAATTCAAGATGAATACAGGTAAACCTATTTAAGACTAAGTAAATATGGAAGTATCATAGAAAAATATGGAAATCAATGGACTTGGTCCATTAACAGACATATGTAGATTGTAGAATGATCTGTTTTGGTTCTGGAACATGCTCTAAAGGGCTATTCACTAAAAATTTGAATTTCAAATTTAGGGCCAGAGTAACTTATCTGAAGCTTTGCTGACTTATAAAAATGCAGTGCCCTTGCATTTATGTCACAATTAACTTCTCATAACTGGCTTGTAACTCAACTTACATCGCCTATGCACTGTATGTGACTGACGCTGCCAGTGACGTAATTGGTAAACTATATCATGCAGAGGGAACAAATAAGCTAAGGCTGCTTTTAAAGAAGATCTTAATCTTTTAAAATTGCACTGTCACCTCCCCCTCCCTTCCCTCAAAGCTTGTTTCATAAAGATCTATATAAAGTACTCAAAGTTGACTGCTTTGGAATTTTATTGAAATTACAACACTGTCATGTTAGAGCAAAGTAGTCCCTACTTTGTCTTAAGTATTTTTCCTCCACTTGACAAAAGGCAAGTGAAGTTTTCTGTTGACAGCTGAAGGGAAAAAGCGCATTGTCTATGGAGGATCTCACTGGAATCTCCATAGATATCATTGTATGTTCGCGCATGCACGAGTACAATGGCATTTGAAGTGACAGGAACGGAAGAGGACAGTCAGAAAAAATATGGTGTCTTTAGTACTAGATACATGATTTCCTTGGGAAATCCAATTAGATTTTTTTGTAGGTTACTGTATATTGCGCCCTCACCTCTTGAGGTCTTATCTGGGGATGGTTTGAATACAGTTGAAGTGAATTAAAATTGTTTAGAATGGAAAGTTCTGCAATGTAACTGAACCTTGTTGTTAGTGCTGTAGTATCTGCTCCAGTGGAAGAATACTCTGAAAACCACGAGCCTCTTGAACTCTTGGAGGAAGAAAATGTCAAGTAAGTGAAATGAAAGCTTGTGACTGTCAATGACCGACATAAACAAGACTGTGTATATGGGTGTTTGTATGTTAACTTCTATAGGCTTGTAATGTATAAAGTTTAACGTGATTTCAATAGGAAATGGTAAAAAAATATAACCGCCTGACTCAATGTGGGGATAACCCGGTTATCCTGGTCACTTGTTCACTTGTTTCTTGATTTAGACTGCAAGTTTCCACATAAGTTTATGGTGATCAGCCTGTAATTGCGGGACGTTGGATGCAGCTCTACCCATGTGTACCCAGCCACTACATGGGAGGCAATACTTACACTGTGAAAACACCCTACTTGCCTTATCAAGGAGCGGATAAAACGACCCTTAACATGCCCAGGTGCATCGAGAGAATTCCCGACAGGCAGTGGGCATCATGGTTACCAGACTGTCTTGGGTCGGACAGAAGTGACCTCTACCTCTAGGAGATCAGGAGACCTGGACGGTGTAGCTTCCCATTGCTGTGAGCCTGGCTGGTCTTTGGGGGGGCTGAGCCGGGCAGTATGGACTATGTTTAGAAGTGGCCAGCGATAAAGGGGGACCTACGGAGGCACCATGTCTGATTTACCGAGACTATACTGGAACAGTGGAGATACAGAGGCCGTCCGGTTGGTGGACTCTAGGAGAGGGGTCTCATGAACTGGGGGGTACCTCGAGTGCCCGCTGTACAGAGAAGCTCATGGTGGGGGGCCTTTACCTGGAGTCAGGTGTTGGTGCATATGTTGGCACCCACGGGTGCCTGATATTGGTGCAGTGGGTATGGCCCTACAGGGGCTTCACATTACTCCTCACTCTCACATGGGAACAGGGGCATGAGGGAAGGCATAAGACATTCTCAGACAGGGATGGCTCCCACCTAAGGCAGACCGTTATTTTTATTTTATTTCCTTAATCACGTATTTAGTTTTTCTTTTAACATATATAACCTGGCCGCACGTTCTTGGCCCAAGATCTCTGGGGTTCACAAGAGGACCTAACTAGGGATATTCACGTTGGGCCCTATCCCACAGGCCCCTGAACACACTCTGGGGCACCCTTTCCCTTTTTACCATTTTATTTTACCACATCACAAACCTAACATAGTCTGGGCTGTGGATCCATAACCCCAGCAGCAGAATGGGGTAGACCATACAGCCTAGTTAATGACACAGTTTTTGTCACACAACAAATCATCAATAACAATGGGCCCCCAGCTGGCGACTAACATACGAGCTGCCCATGCGCTGTATCCTTCTTGCACGTTAAGGCACAATGTTCATAGCTGTAACCCTGTATATTGATTTTAGTTCTTTGTATTACACCCTTCTTATTTTTAGGAAAAACACACAGGAAATAGGATAGAACAAATGAAAATTAACAACCAGACCTACATAAGCAATCCACTGTATACTGACACTCGCCTTTAAGGCAAACTTGAAATTGAACATATGACCTATGCCGCATTGAGCCCTCGCTATAGGATTTTTTCTTAAGTCCATATAATTTGGATATCAGATGGGCCTGAAGCACAGTTGCAACCATGACTTTTTCTTACATACTAAATCCCACATGATGCCGTACCGATTACTAGTTAAATTTATAAGGTATGCATTTATAATTTTGATGTACTTATGCTAGTATTAATGCATGTACTTGAAGTTACCACTGATAGTCCTACATATTTAATTTATTCGTTATTTTTGAGTTCAATGAGCACATCTTTATAAATGTGTCCATTCATTATGCAATATTCTTCTGCATTATCGAATGTCATATTGTACTGCAATAAGTTCACACTCCTAACTACAAATAGATACGATCCCTGTAGTGTACTATAGTGATGCGTTGTTCTTAAGTTCTGTAATTACACTATTGCTACCATGACTAACTTTACTGCATTGTAATACTGCAATAATATTGTACACCAGCTTATACTGAAACATGTCCACATTTCCTACTGTTAATGTATGCAAACTGATGTGAATAAAATTCTTTCTTGAATGAAAAAAAGAAAATGTAAGAATGTGAGGTGCTAGGGTATGATCAGGAATAATTGTGTGGTAATTTAATTGATATGACAGGCCTATACGCTCATATTACCTCTACAATCCATAACCTTTAAGCATCACATACTTTACCTTCCCATGATAAAGAGAAACTGGGACTCTTGTGGAATATAAAACTAAATCCAAACTTGTCTAGCTGAATTGGGCAGGGGACATCTCAATACGAAGATTGTATGGTTTTAACATCTCAATTTGTAATTTGTATTTCCATTTCTTTTTGTAGGTGTTGCATAGCCAATGTGTAACAAAATACTTGTGTAACTATTTTTTTTTTTTTCTTTGCGTTATGCAGGGTCACAGAAGAACTTCCAGCTGAAGAACTTGCAGAAGAAATGACACTAGATGAATGGAAGTGTATGCAAGCGCAAAACCGAGCTAGGCCAGATTTCAACTTGCGTAAACCTGCATCCTCTGTACCTTCAAAAGCTGTGGTGATCCACAAGTCTAAATATAAAAATGTAAGCCTATTCATTTAAAAACAAAAATGTCTGTTGGTACTATATACTCCTGTATTTCAGGCCATTCAACTGACAGAAGATTTAAAGTGCTAACCCTTGCATCCAAAAACCGATATACCCACACACTTTACTGTTTTATGTTCTTGTTTGCGCATGTGCTCTTCCACTAAACATTTATTTAAAAAATATATAATTTTTGTTCTGTAGAATATGGAAGATGAAGGGGATCTACAGTATGTCTGTCGCAGGCCTATCAATGATATCACTGCCCAGTTGGATATTAATTTTGGAAGTCTGTCCCGACCTGGCCGTGGGGGAAGAGGTGGAGGACGTGGGCGTGTACGAAGAGAAGAACCATTTTCTCATGCCATGGATGATGTATGTGCTCAACATATTCTAAATGTATTTTATTATATAAATGTGAAACTATCACTTGACTGTTTTTGAGAAATGATTTTTATAGAATTTTTAATAGTATAATCAAAAATGTTTGTCTTGAGTGAATTGTATTTTTGCCTGCAACAGCATTATACAAATGGTTAAATTGAATCTATGAAATTAAATTAGTGCAGATATTTTAGAATGACACCAAACCACAACGTTCTTAGTGCACTGATGAATGTTGCACTGTATGGCTTGCATTTAGGCAAATACATCATTCATTTGTACTTACGGTAATAGTCCCAGGGAACCTTGCACCTGTTGCAGCCCTTGTGACACCACACCCACCAGGCAAGAGTGTGCACTGTGTAATGTAGTAATAACACGGTTTAGAGCAAATGGTGGTTTGATCACCTTAATGATGCAAATGTCCATGCAAGGAATGTCAGGCTATCTAAATCTGTTAAAGTATAAGTTAGCTTAATGAATAAAAAAGTAACCAGTGTTAGGATATCTGCTAAAGTACACACAACTTCGGATTGTCTCAAACTGCATTAATATAATTTCTATTTTTCCATACAGATAGCGGCAGTACCCATGCCAGATTTTCTGTCTCCTCCTGAGGACAGGCAGCATTGTAACATTTTCATTTTTTTATTGTATTATTAGGCCCACCCCCTTTAAGAGATAAGCAAGGATAACCCCCAATAACACCAGTTTTCTTCCTGTCCCCTAAAGGACCAGTTGTAGTCTTTCCCTTTTATTTTGTCTTTTCATATCTGCTGTGGGGCAGTCTGGGTCCCAAGCACACTGGGAAGTTGCTCTAATCAGGAATTGATCTGCAACAGAATTTACACTAGCTAAGCCTTGTCTCCTGAAAACTTAGAAAGACCCAGCTGCAAACCAGAATGGGCTGAACACTGGTACAGAATGGAGTTTCACAGGTGATGTCATTGTGTAAATGTACAAAGAAATTGCGGCTTCTTCGGGCCATATTCTAGCTAATCCGGGTTAAAAAAAAATACTGTGACAGCATGTAAGCCACGTGGTACGGTCTTTAAGCAACAAGTTTAACCGTGGGCACTTAAAGGACCACTATATGCACCCAGACCACTTCAGCTCAATGAAGTGGTCTGGGTACCAGGTCCCTCTAGTTTTAACCCTGCAGCTGAAAACCGTTTCAAAGAAACTGTTTAGACGGAGGGTTAATCCAGCCTCAAGTGGCTCTCACTGACAGCCACTAGAGGCCGCTTCCACGATTCTCTGTGAAAATCGGTGAGAAGACTCTGACGTCCATAGGAAAGCATGGCGTAATGCGCTGATGTCGGCAGGGGGAGGGTTCTCCCTGCTGGAGGGGGGTAATGAGGGTGGGGGGAACTAAGGACTACATGCCAGGAAAACGAGTTTGTTTTCCTGGCACTATAGTGGTCCTTTAAGCACTTAGTGAGGTGTTTTTGCCATCCCTGCCCCCACCTTCAGCTCAGTTAGTTAACAAAAACTCTATTGGTAGTACACAAAGCCTGAAAGACCCAATTGACAAATTCAGAAACTTCTTTGAGGATTTTTCATGCCCTGGCATAACATTCTAAAGTTTCGATTACATGTTTTTCGATCGCCAAGGCAGAATTTGGCAAGAAAAGTTGGAATTTTTTTTTTTTTTTTTTTTTTAAACCTACCAATGGAGATCTAGTTAAAATCTTACAGAATGTTAAATTGACTGCAGAACTTTTATGCAATTTTAAAACTGAAGGTCTCTGTTTAGCAGCAAAAAGTATGGGGTTAGCTATGGTGTGAAGAAGAGTTAATAGGCTTCATTCCTGACGAGCACACGCCCATTCAAAATATGGCATATGTTACCTTCCGTTCGAGGAAGGTCTCTTTGGTTCTTTGCTAGATGATAAATTCGGGATTATTCTAGCTTCAGTGATTGAATAATCTAAATTTTATGGCAAGACAGGAGCCTTCATATTTGCCTAAACCTTCTTTACTGAACCTCCCAGCAGCAAAGAAAGTTAAACCTATAGAGAAAAAAATCAAATCAGGACACCTCTTGGGAGGAGTCTCACAGACTCATGTTCTAACTCCTCTTTCTTGATGCAGCCGATCAAGTGTAGTCAACCATGTAAAATTGAGTGATAATCAACCGTGTAAACAGAACAGAATCGACACTGGAAACCAATTGATAGTAGTCTGTAGGGTAATCTTCATGGCTCATGCAGACAAACTTCACACTAAAAAAGACAGAAATGTTTTGAAAGTAGTGTCACTTGGACTGGGTGTCTGCAAAATATATACATACACAGATATACTCCCATGGATATCAAGAGTATAAAACCATTGCAAAATCTAAAATTGCCATAATTAGGTAAATTAAAAATCACCTAACCAAAGCAAACTTAAACAGGAAGTTTAATATAAAGTCTTACAAAAACCATAGAAATAAAAATATACCTGACAGTATCTGGGATGGGATACAGATTGGGTGGGAAATTATTCGCCTCCTGTCTTTAACAAAATTTAGATTATTCAGTCACTGAAGCTAGAATACTGAATTTTATAGGTAGACAGGAGGCTTCAGCCTGCAATAGGAACTTGAGAACTAGGAAAGTCGATTACCTATAGCAACACGGCCGTGGAGGGAAAAAGCTGTTTGTGGTAGAAATGGGTATTGCCCAAATTCCATGCATCTGGTCGAGGCCTGTAGCCTGTGAAGGCAGCTCTGCCATTCGTTGGACCCCTATAGCAACCAGCCCTAACGTCCTTTTCTAGTGGTTTACAAAGCCATAATCTGCAGTATTTGGCAATGTGATCAGGGAGTGTCCATTCAGTTGATCGAGGGTGTCTGATACAGCGTTGGTCAAGAGGACAACCATTGGTATCCAGTAGGATATTGTCCCTAGTGTTATCCAAATTAGTATTAGTCATAGGATCAGTGTCCTGAAAGGACTGGTTTTTGGGGTAGAAGGAAAGTCTCCATAACAGTCGGAAGAGGATGGGTCTCGTGGGAGCTCCTCATACGAATACACACCGTATTCGTCCATTACTTGTAGGTGATAGCCAGAGGTTGAACACTATACAGGGTCAAATTCTTTATTGAAAGTGGGTTTGGCATGAGACAATTTACCAGTCTTTGCTGGGGCTTTGCCATTGCCAGCAGAAGCATTGTCACCCTTTCAAGGGCACTTACGTGGGGCTTAGTCATGGTCAGAGACCCTGGAATCATCAGACAATGGAGTGGTGGCAGTAGGGGCCGCTAGTGGCTGGTCACGAACGCTGCCAAGGCCTTAGGGATAGTCTGCAATTGCAGCTTGAAACCAGGCCTTTAGTTCTGCTGACACTGCAGGTTCTGGTTGGTCTGACATTATGACCAGTAAAATAGTGGGATCACCACACAATCCTATATATCAATGGGTGTATATATAAATTGTTGTTTTTTTTTTTTTTTAATTTTTTATTTTATTACTTAACAAAACTTGTCACCCACAACAAAGGCAGGGGCTTTTCTTGAGGCTCACCCTGATAAAATATTGTCACTTTTTAAAGGGGACTTAGAGTAGATTTAACTAAGGCTAAACGGTGTTGAAAGACAAGGCATTAGTGGGGTTCATCCACAGTTATGGCAGTTAAACTGCCAATATAATGACAGGTGTAACCTGTGTAATCAATCAAAACAAGAAGTTCACCCTGAAGGATAACAATAGTAAGGCACGCGGGGGTCACCCTCAAGTAGGCCCCAGGCTGTTTGGTCTTTATTTCGGCTTGCCCCTCATTATATAAATTTAACTGTAATAACAAAATGTTTCAGCATACTGAAAAAATACTTACGTTTTTGATAGGGATTCCGAGAAAGCTGTCATAAAAGCGTGCGGAAACTAGAAAACAAACCGCCGAATAAAAGATGGCCACCAGCAAGAAGGGAGGCGGGTTTGCACATCTATCTAATGACGCGATTAAGGGCAGTTCTGATTCATATCGCGGGCATGACCATTTCGGGTTGCAGCAGTGGCGCGGCGTTATAAAGACTGGCAAAAAACACACTAGTAAGGTGCGACGTTCAGATAAATTAGACCGCTTAAGAAAAACATAGGGAAAGGACTGGACAGTGGGCTGACCTAAAAGGTTGGTGTCATGAAGGGAAGAGATAAAATAAACACACAAATTACTTCATGAAACCGGGGGGGGAAAAAATCTAATTAAAAGGAGTAAAAATATCTAAAACAAAGATAATGCAAGTTAATAGTATGTGTCTCAGACTAATCTGTTCTAAGATGTGTCCTGATTATTTGGATTTTATTTATTTTCTATATATTTAACCATTTCTTTGCTGCTGGGAGGTTCAGTAAAGGTTTAAGCAAATATGAAGCCTCCTGTCTTGCCATAAAATGGAAATCCTTGGTGAAAAGATCTATCGCGGAATAAATGAGGAAATATTTTATTTCAAGAAGACCCTGGTGGTTTTGTTTTTTTTTGTTTTTTTTTGTTTTTTTCTTCAAAGAATTCAGGTAACATCAAGCATTAGCACTTTTCTATTCCTTGCATTCATGGTACTCTGAGAATGCAGTTATAGAAGAGACTTCAGGACCAAGAAACACTTATGGGTTTTACTAAAGACTTTTTTTCTACTGAAGAAACCAGGTGAGTCTTTTTGACCACTCTAAGATTTGAAAAAAGTGAACAAGTTGGTAACAAACTCCAGAATGGAGACCATTGTCAGCAAGCCAACTTGTCAATTGTTTTCCTTGCATCTCAGGATCTAAAAGTTGCCATAAGCAAAAAAATAAAATCCTGCACTAGCCGTTCAAAGGTCTGCCTTTCTGCCTAACATTATCTCCAAGAGTCTTCACGAAAATCATGATAGTCCCAGCAGCAGATTCAATAGAGAAATAATTTCATATTGTCCCTTACCTGGGCAACTAGCTAATTTTGACAAGAACAGAAAATATTTTAAGAGAACATGCCTGTCCTTAAAAGGTGGGGGGGAAATCCCTAACGCAGGTACGATTGCTAATCCTATGGAAAAAGGAATTTGCAGGCAGTAAAAATTAATCTATATATGCTAACACAATGCAAATTCTTCCACCATTATGTAAAAAAAAAACGCATTGCAGCAATTCTGGGTTTTGTTTTGGTTTAGAATTTGTACAGTTGCTTCCCCCTAAGGGGTTAAGCATGCAGGAAGAATAGGAAATATTGTCACTGTCCTAATCATTGTCAGTGTGATGGCAGTAAAGCCAGTATGTTCTAATCAGTGGAACGATTGCCCTGCTTGATGAATTCTTCAAGCAGGGCCATGTAACCTCCATGGACCACTGACCATGGTGATTCTGGGGTGAGGTGGTGGATGGTAAGCAATAAAAGCAGCTTCTAAAATCTGTAAATGTGTTTAGAAAAATCCTGTGAATGGAATAACTATTTAGCATTCATTGATGATTTCAGTATGCCTGGATGTTGGAGCTTACTGGGTTGGTAACGGTTTTATAATTGTTGGAGCGTATCTTGGTCAAAAAATGGGAGCCATTTACAAATTGGTAATTTCAAACAAAGTTGGCTTGTGCTTGCTCTGGATTGACTTACAGGGTGATTGAAATTTGCTTAGAATTCTCATTTTATTTAAACAAAATAAACCAAATTGGAAACTTTCTAAGTTAGATGCTTCGACTTCAGCTACTTAGGGCCTTAAATTTGAAATTCACCTTGAATTCACTTTGAAATCTAACTTTAATGAATAAGCTTGTTAATGTTTATATAATGAAGAGGCTCGTTTCTTCCTTTCAGGTTTACACGATTGCTCCTGATCCTGATGACTTTGAGGACTTTCCTGCTTTGTCATAACGGAACGTCTTCCAGTCTAGTGCAGAGTGAGCTGCTTTGTTCCACAAGCATGATTTAATAGTCGGTGAATGTAAAGTTTCAATGCCTACATTAAGAAGTTTCTTGTGAGCTTATTGCTCTTTCATGTTAATGTTTTTGTAATGGATCTACAAAGAAGTTGAGGTAGAAACTACACTGTCAAGGGAGCTGCATATTTTATGCTCAGGTCTGGGGTTTAGATTGAATTGGGGTGTTAAGAGCTGGAGCTTTATGTTGAGCTAGACTCCAATACACTGTGAGGAATATTTTCTAAATAAAAGTATTAAGAGCTAGGCACAAAAACTCTCTCTATAGAGGGTGCAAAACATCTCAATCCTTGTAAATATGTCTTGCCAGTTTTCTTTACCACAATATAAAATGTTAAACTCCCTTTTTATGCTCTCATGTTGGGGAAATTGAACGGTTTTCATTAAATTTACTGAATATGCAAGATCTCTGCTGATCTACTGGTCTCTTTTTTTGAATAATTTCTTTTGTCAGATAACCAAAGCAAATTATTTTCAGAATCCCAATTAGAAAAGGTTACTTACAGTAAGAACATTAAAGATGTGGGTGCCTCTACCGATAATTATGGGGAAGGCTTGTTGCTCCAAGTAGACTTCATGACTGTCATGACCGGATCATAAAATAAATGCCACCTACCTTGAATATATAATGGATCTGTGATGTATTCTGTGTATATTTATTTATTATAAAGCACCAACATATTCTGCAGCACTGTAAGATTGGGGACGATAACACAACAGACAATACAACTGGTAGAGAGCCCTGTCTGTGAACTTACAAACTAAATGTTAAACTGGGACAATGAGACAAGAGATGGCAGGAAATTGTATGTGATGTCAGAGTTAATGATACAACTGTAGCAGCTGATAACGTGATGGAATTGAAGAGGTGATTGACTGTGGTTCCAAACAGGTAGAAGAGCATGCTATATAGTTAGAAAAAAAACAGGGTTGGGAGAGCCGAGAAATTAAAGCGCCTTGTTACAGGGGTGGATGTAGATTTGGGGCTAAGGAAGAGAGAGAACCGTTTACAGCTGGGATATATGAATTAGTACTGCCATCTCCTCCCTTTCATGGGTGCTTTTCTTCTGTAACATCCGCCTACAGTCCACCTGTGCTTCACCTGATTTTCTGCTACTGGGGGACTCTTTCAACCTAAGTCACAAGAGCATATCCAGTGATTTAAGTCATACAGGTGATACTTTAAAAAAAAACTAGAATATCGTGCAAAAGTTCATTTATTTCAGTAATGCAACGTAAAAGGGGAAACTAATGAGACACTCATTACATGCAAAGCAAGATAGTTCAAGCAGTGAGAAGTGTGGTGATTATGGCTTACAGCTGATGAAAACCCCAAATCAACAATCTCAGTAAATTAGAATATTGTGAAAAGGTGCAATATTCTAGGCACACACTGTCCCACTCTAATCAGCGAAGTAAGCCATAACACCTGCAAATGGTTTCTGAGCCTCAAATGTGCCCTTTCAACGTCCACATATACCTGGCAAGGGTACATATGGTGGTATTGTTGTACTCAGACATAGCTGAGCAACATATGGAATATTATACAGCCGTAGCACACACGGTTTGCGAAATATACTGTGCAAACTCACTTTGTGTCTTAAAGGACCACTATAGTGCCCTGAGGGTGCACCCACCCTCAGGGATCCCCTCCCGCCGGCCTCTGGGGAGAGGGAAGGGGTTAAACTTACCCTTTTTTTTTTCCAGTGCCGGGCGGGGAGCTCTCCTCCTCCTCCTCTTTGGCTGAATGCGCATGCGCGGCAGGAGCTGCACATGCATTCAGCCAATCTCATAGGAAAGCATTCATAATACTTTCTTATGGATGCTGGCGTCTTCTCACTGTGATTTTCACAGTGAGAAGCACTCAAATGCCTCTAGCGGCTGTCAATCAGACAGCCACTATAGGCTTTAGAGGCTGGATTAACCCATTTATAAACATAGCAGTTTCTCTGAAACTTTTTATATAAAAAAAAAGTTAATCCTAGATGGACCTGGCACCCAGACCACTTCATTAAGCTGGTCCTTTAAAAAGGCAGAAAATATGCTTTTTACCACTACACATGGTACAAGCCAGCAGAAAAACTATCCCATGCCAAGGTTCAAGATCTGCCTTTTGAAATACCCTGGGATGTCTTCTTTAAGAAATGGTATGCATTTATGGTGAAGTTAGAATATGTAGTATACTAAAGTGCTCCAAAATGGAACACTGATCCATCAAAACAATCTATGAAAATTCACACTTAAAAACCTGAACTTGTCACGTCTTTTACAGCACTTTCACAAAATTGTGTCTAGGTCATACATTGGGCATATTGCTTTACTCAGAGGTAACTAAGCATAATTTGGGGGAATTCATGAGTGGCACTTATCAAATGTACGAAATACCCAGCAAAAATGCAGCATGTATGGGAAAAAATTCCATTTTCTTTTTCCTCACCACAAACATTGACCTGAATTGGTGAAAAAAATGGCAAGTTAAGGTACAATATATGCCATATAAAATGACTAGGTGCATCAGATATAAATGTGACATAGGTTAAGTGCCACCATAGGGATGTTAGAAGCCTGTATGCGGTTTTTTTTGTCAATGTAGAACGCCCCTAACCTTGGGCACATATCGGCACTACCAAAGTCGGGCAAACCACTTACAAGTTGCTCAAACTTTTGACCCATTTCTTTACTAAATAGCAAACAGACTAGGATTTTAGCAAGAATTCTTTATATTTACAAGGTGGGGTTTGTGTGTGGCAGGCAAGAGGCAGATAACACTAGGAAGATTTTGAATATACTCTTATGTGTCTAAATTGGAGGGCTCTCTTAGCACTTGATTTTGAGAAGGCCTTCGACAGACTGAATTCCATAGTCTACCAACACCTGCCCCATGTACGGTCAATTCAATCAGCTTTTGTAAATGGCGTTATGGCTCTAACAACCTTCAGTACAAGTATTAAATTCAGGCTTAATTTCCTCCTTTAATAAAACGATTGTTACAAGACAGGTGTTCCCCCTCTCCCCACTTTTGTTTGTCTTCAGAACCTCTATCCCACAAAATCATACTTAAATCAGGTGTAAAGGGCATAGAGATGGAAGGCAAAGATTACCTTATCAAACCACCTCTGTGCCCAATTTGCTTGACATCTTAACTGAAAATGGCAATATATCATAAGTGGAATAGGAAAAACACAAGCCTTACTGCTTAGATTAAATACTTTGAAAATACAACATTTACAGAAGTTTGTGATATTACATATTAAGAATAAAGGACTTTTACAATAGTTTTATTTCGTTATTTTTATACTTGAATAAATGTATTACTTTATATTCAAGATCCTTTTTAAGTCCTTTCTTTGGAAACCTCGGTATCTTCCCAGGGGTAGTGCCATCCCCATTCAAATTGGCACAATACCTATATACCTAGAGCCGGGACCCACAGGCTCAGGACCAGGTGAGCACACCACTTATTTTTAATAATATTGTGTTTTTATAAACACTATCTACACATTGGTCTGCTTCTCCTATTTTTATCTTTGTGAAATACCCCACATCGAAGGAGACGGGCGGTGCTACCCCAAAAAAAAAACACACAAGCCAAAATACGGAGCCAGTGTTCCTATATACAGGCTCCTTGAAATGTGAGTATTCCATTTATCAAGACACCACCATTATAATTTAATTATCATCTTAAAACCGTCTGCACTATATTGTCTTTTATATTTTTCTCTCGACATGTACTTTTATACTCTATTATTGAATAAGAAACCATTTGGTAAGCTATATGTACTAAAGCGCTCCACTTACTGGTATAAGTCTTTTGTCACTTACACCGCACTAATACCTCTAATTTTTGTTTTGTGGAATAGAGGATACTTCCACACAAGTGTATTGAGCAACTTGGAAATCACTGTTAAAAACACTGTTATACACATTCCTCTGTAAAAGGAGGTATTCTTTGATTGGTATTGTAAGAATGATCACTACGGAGCAAAATAAAATCTTATAGATTAAGATGGCGCTGATAAGCGCACACAAAGGCTGTATCACTAGATGCAGGCCTGAATGTCACAGCTATTGATACACAGCATTAAAACTGTTTTGAAGACTCATGCGTACCATCACGAGAATAGTACAGAGAGTTTATAGATCAGAGATAATTAACCGCACAAACCTGACATGGTGTTGGTGGTCCTGAACAGCCTGGCCAGCTGCCGGTCCAATCCAGCTGCTTGTGCAAGGTCTTTGCTCGGCTGTACTGATAAGGAACCTTGGTGGAAGTACAGACCGTCCATTAAAAAAAAGTTATATAAGACTGAGAATCTGGCACTCCCTTGGAGAGCTACCTACTGGTAATACGGACACGTGTTGCTGTTCCCAGAAGAGAGGGTCCCTCCAAGTTTGACTGCCTGAGTTCCCCCAGTCGTGTGCAGCGAGGAGACAACTAAACCCCTCTAATGGTGATGTATTCTTAAAGAGACTCTCCAGTGCCAGGAAAACTGTTTTCCTGGCATTGCAGGTCTCCTCCCTCCCACCACCCATCCCTGGTTGCTGAAGGGGTGAAACCCCCTTCAGTGACTTACCTGAGACCCCCGCCGATGTCCCTCAGCAGTGGTTTTGGATCGCTGCCGCTCCTCCCCTTCATCACGTCAGCCGGCTTTCCTATGGGGAATTGAGCGATGATGGAGGTCCTGACACAGCGTGAGGACGTCCAGCGACGCTCTAGCACAGAAAACCTGTGCTATGAAGCAGGAAGTGCCCTCTAGTGGCTGTCTAGTAGACAGCCACTAGAGGAGGAGTTAACCCTGCACTGTAATGATTGCAGTTTATGAAAACTGCAATAATTACAGTTGCAGGGTTAAGGGTAGTGGGAGTTGGCACCCAGACCACTCCAATGGGCAGAAGTGGTCTGGGTGCCTGGAGTGTCCCTTTAACCCCTTAAGG